TATATTTCCCCTTCCCAGGTGAATACTTGTTTCTCTTAGAGAGGGTTCTTCTTGTTACCTAGCTTCTCTGTGGTCATTTGCTTTATATCTCATATCTCATTACGTGTGAATACATACTGTGTTTATCTTTCTTGGACTGGGTTACCTCATTCAGCATGTTTTTTTTTTCTAGTTTCATCCATCTGCCTTCAAGTTTCATGATGTCATTGTTTTATTTTACTGCTAGTAGTACTCCATTGTATAAATGTACCACATTTTCTTTATCCATTCTTCATTGAGGGGCATCTAGGTTGTTTATAGGTTCTGGCTATTATGAATAATGCTGTTATGAACACAGTTGAGCAAATGTCCTTGTGGTATGAATGTACATCCTTTGTGTATATGCCCATGAGTGGTATTGCTGGGTCTTGAGGTAGATTGATTCCCAATTTTTAAAGAAACAGCCATACTGATTTTCAAAGCAGCTGTACCAAGTTGGCACTCCCACCAGTAATGGAGGAGTGTTCCCGTTACTCCAATCCTCTCCAGCATAAGCTGTCATCGGTGTTTTTGATCTGAGCCATTCTGACAGGTGTATGATGGTATCTCAGAGTCATTTTGATTTCCCTGATGGCTAAGGATGTTGAGCAGTTCCCTAAATGCCTTTCAGTCATTCGAGATTCTTTTGTTGAGAATTCTCTGTTTAGAACTGTACCCCCATTTTAAAATTGGATTATTTGGTACTTTTGTGTCTAGTTTCTTGAGTTCTTTATATATTTTGGATATCAGTCCTCTGTCCAATGTGGGGTTGATGAAGATCTTTTCCCATTCTGTAGGCTGCTTTGTCTTATTGACTGTGTCCTTTGCCTTATAGAAGCTTCTCAGTTTCAGGAGGTCCCATTTATTAATTGTTTCTCTTAGTCTCTATGATATTGGTGTTACATTTAGGATGTGGTCTCCTGTGTCCCTGTGTTCAAGGCTATTTTCCACTTTCTCTTCTATGAGGTTCAGTATGGTTGGATTTATTTTGAGTTCTTTGATCCAATTGGGCTTCACTTTTGTGCATGGGGATAGATACGAATCAAATTATTTGCATTCTTCTACATGTTGACATCCATGTATGCCAGCACCATCTGTTGAAGATGCTTTCTTTTTTTTTTCAATTGCATAACTTCAGCTTCTTTTTTCAAAAATCAGGTGTTCATAGTTGTGTAGAGTAATATTCGTTTCTTGAATTTGGTTCCTATGGTCCACCTGTCTGTTTTTATGCCAATACTAAGCTGTCTTCATTACCTTGTCTTTATAATAGAGCTTGAAGTCAGGAATGGTAATGCTTCTGTGACCTCAGCAACTCCTTGAGACACAGACTGCTACTGCACAGAGAGGACCAAGAGGTGTGTCACCAGCCCCTCAGCTGGACAGTCCATTCTGTATGCCCTAGACCTAGGGGCAAAACCCCACCCACCTCTGCCACCCACCTCAGCTGCAATAACAGGTCAGTGGGCAAGCCACATGCAGGCAGCCTGCTGCAGCACACCTCCATTAGTTAAGACACTTTTAAAATTCAAGTTTCGGTCAACTAAATTTTGCTTTTCATTAATATGCAAACCCATTTTTCTTACTATGTAACAATGAACATTAATCAAATAGTCATTTTAGAAACAAGAACACATTTTGTGAAATGATTCCTTACGCATACATTACAGTACACTGAAAATACATTTATATAGTTTTCTATTACTATATAGGTCAGGCATACCAGTTCAAATAATATCAACATCTAATATTGCTTTGTAACATGCCCGACTAATGGATTTTTTGGGGGGTTAATTATTGTTTTATTAATTATATAATTTATTTTATGAATTTGTTTTGTTTTTTAATTTAAGTTAGAAATAATCTTATTGTACATATCAATCCCAGTTTCCTCCCTCTCTCATCCTCCCATACCCTCCACTGACCCCCCTCCTACTTGATCCACTCCTCAGGGAGGGTGAGGCCTCCCATGGATCAACAAAGTCTGTCACATCATTTGGGCAGGACCTAGGCCCTCCCCTGTGTATCTAGGCTGAGAGAGTATCCTTCCATACGGAGTGGAATCCCAAAGTTCATTCGTACACTAGGGATAAATACCAACAAATAGTTTTTAAACAGTTGACTATCATGCTTTAATGTCATTTCATATGTAAAGTTCAGAACTAATGATGATTGATCTCCAACAATAAAAATTAAATTCCTTCCAACAAATACCACTTGTTTTATTAAAATTAATACATCTATAATATCATTTACTATACACTACATATTTGAAGAATTTGCATTATTTCAAAAATTTGTTTTTACATTTTTTGAGAATTGTATACCGAGTTTTTATCATTTTCTACTTTCCTCTCTTCCCTCTGATCTCTCCAAATCCATGACTTCTTTAAATTTTTTGTTACTTTGTTATTTATTTTATTACATGTACACATGAATATAAATATATAGATGCAACCTGTTGATCCCATCCATTGATTTGCATGTATGTGTATTTCAGGGCTGACCGCAATGCATTGAATAGATAACTAGGGAACTCGTCACTCAGGAACACTTCTTCTCTCAGCCCATTGCCTGTAGCTCACAAAGGACTTTTTTTAGTTTTTGTTTTTAAATTATATTCACAAATGTCATTAAATATAAATATATATTTGTATATTTATTACTTTTTAAATGTGTCTGTGTGTATGTATATCTATCTATGTATCTATGTGTCTGTCTATCTCTCTATATATTCCTTTTCATTCCAGGACTGTCTTTTAATTCTTTCTGCTAGAGAAGAGTCATGAATAACAATCCTGTTGTCAATGACAGTCTCAGCGTTTGGATTTGAATTACTGAGATCTTATGGAATTCTTTTTAATTTACTGTTTTCATGTATGTAAATGTAAGTACATGATGAATATGTGTTCATGATATGGAGAGTGCATATGATGGGGGATGTCCTTTTGTATGCTGTGAATATATGCTTCTCTTATTGGCTGGTGAACAAACTGTTTCAGCAATGGTCAGGAAGGATATTACATAAAGGTAACCTGTCTTAGTTAGTCTTTGTGCCTTTAGCCTTGAAGGAGAAGGAGTAGTTAGGTCACTAGAAGGTTCGGTAGGTATGACTAATTTCTAGGTAGACACCCCAGGTCCAGGTAATCAGGTGACCCAATGTGAAGGAGATTCCAAACTAAATGACATCCAAATCGACCCTTCACTGTAGCTTCTCTACATAGTAATAGCAGAGACTATGAGACTTTCCCAGTGGCTTCTGGTCTCATTCAGAGAAAAGGACACCTTTCTTACAATGGCCTTCAGATTTCAGTCTGGCCTTCTGTCACCCATGTGAGTTCATGTCTAATCTCCCTCTCATCCATCCCATTCTTCATTGGCCACCTTTGTGTCATGCTCTCCCTCTAGGGCTCCACTCACAGTGGACTTTGGATCTGTTGCTGACGTCATTCATACTCTCAGCTCACCACTTCATCTTCTTCAAGGCTTTGCTGAAATGCTATATTCTCAGCCAAGGACCTGAGTGAAAAATTACATATAGGAATAATGGAAGTGTGTGACAGGAAGTTACAATTGAGCAGGTGTCATACGAAACAGCAGTAATTCCACAGACTTGCCTTCTAAGAGATGTCATGGCCCAGCTGACAGTGTGCGATGTGTGTATTCCTTATACATGAGATAGACAGGGATGTGATTGGTGATTACTAATGGTAACGCAGAGATAATCTTTCAATGTAGGAGGCGATGATGACCATCTGTAGTTACAAAGAGGAGACAAATTCCAAGAGTTGACCTTCTGAGCCACTGAGAAATTTGTGTTCATTAGCAAACAGGAAACCTATGAGCTATCCTGGACTCCTGCCTCCTAGGCAATCAGAATCAACAGATAATCACCCAGTTCTGGCAGTTTAGAACACTTCATTGTAGATTTATATCTACACAGGGTGGAGGGTAACTGAGAAAATAACTCCTTTCCTCCCTCCCACTCTTTCTATTTCTTTATTGCTATGATGAGTTGTCTAACCTCACATTCCCAATTCCTGCTGTGATTACAAGGCAGTATGACTTGATTTAAATTGCCACAATAATGTTTGAAATATAGGCATCTTTAAATCACAGGTACTGAAGATATCCTTGGTGTCTGACAGACATAAGGTTTTTAGTTTCTACTTTTTCATATATGTATGTCCACTTAGCACCACTTTTAAGATTAAATTTATCTTTAGTTTTTACCTGCTAATTTTTCAGTCCAAACGTTAAAACAAACAAGTGATCAATCTGAGACACACTCCAGGAATGTTTTTGAGGGAGGAGAAAAGAATGGATTGCTAGTGCAGATGGGGGAAGGGCAGACAGTAATATTCAGTAATATTCAATTTGTAAGCATGGCTCAACTCAGTCTAACAAATTTACTGGTCACAAAATTTCACACTAGTCATTTCAGTGAGTGTAGATGGGTTTTTTTTCTCAATTTATATTATGAATCGCACCTTCTTAGGAGAAAGGTTCCCAAGGAGAAGACCCCATGGGGAGCAGTGTCTCTGCCTTGCTTCAGGGAACAAAGAGCCAGGAGAAGCCTGGGGCAGCAGGAGTTGTTCTTGTAGAACTTGGGTGAGCAGGAACCGGCTGGGACTAGAGGGAAGGACTTGGGATGGGGTAAGGAAGGAGTAGGGTGTCCTCGGTGTTCCCCCTCAGCCTGGGCTGATAGACCATTGCCACGCGGGTCCCGTCCTGGCCACCACACTCCCCACTGTGGCTTGTCGTCTTGAGGCGGCCTCGGCTTTTGAATTTGGAAACGCACCTCTCTGTGATAGAAGCTGATTCCCAGGGAGGAGTGGGTGTCGGGCTCAGGCCCAGAGCCTCAGACCCGGGCGAGCCAGGCGAGGGGAGCACCTGCCGAGCCAGGCTCGCAGCTGCGCGGACCGCTCGCCCTCGGCGCCCGCCCCGCCCTCCCCGTGTGTTTACGTGGGAACGAAGATGGCGGCGGCGATGGCCGGGCCTGTGAGGCCGGCACGAGCTGCTGGTTAGCGCTGAGCTCGCCCGGGGGGCAGCGGAGCTCGGGCCGCGTGTGTCGGAGCAGACATTTCCTCTCCACCCCGTCCCCGCCTGGTCGGCAGACGCGATGGAGGACGAGGAGAGACGGAGGAAGCTGGAAGCCGGCAGGGCTAAGGTAGGAGCGCGGCGGCCTGGCCGCGTCGGGAGGCGGTGTCGGGGGGGCGGGGGTGGAGGGAGAGGCCAGACCGCGGGGCTGGGGCCGGGGCCAGGGCAGGGGCTGGGGCTCGGGAGAGCTGCCCCTTCTGGCTGCAGCAGGAGACCTGATGCCTGCACCACCAGTCTCCTTTCTCCCGGGTGCCACACAAAACCCTCTCTTAGTCCCCCACAAACTGCCACGGAATTGCGTTGCAGCCTCCGCCCTTTCACTGTCTAAAGGGAGTTTGGGGAGTGGTTCAGGCTTTGAGCTTTCTGAGTTCGAGTTTAGGGATTTCTTTACTCTGAGGGACACCCGTGCTCTGATCACCATCCTGCTGCCTTTAGGTGTCAGGCTGGCACTCTTGGGTGTGTGTGATTGGCCCGTGACAGCTGCCTGGCCAGCGGCGTGGCTTGAGTGTGCCACAAGTGCCAGCTGTGAGCTTGGCTGAGGGGGCGTTTTTTTTAGAAGGGGTTCTCTCCTCCTCCTCCTTCCTCCTCCTCCTCCTCCTCCTCCTTCTCTTCTTTTGCATATTTGTGTAGAAGGTCTTTGTCAGAGCATGCGACTTTTTGTAGTGTGTGGAATGGAAATTCTTGGCATCAAAAGGTTCTATAACCCAAACAACACCTATAGAATCGCTATTAATGTATTTGTTGAGTTCAGTTTCGTGTGGGCGTATGTGTATGACAAGACCTGTAAACAATCCAGAATTCTATGTAGGTGTCCTTCAGTGGGCTGAATGAATATTTCACACATGAATTGAATGTAATGATTTCTTTCTGAAATTACCTCTGTGAGCTTACTTTTGCCTTCCTTGCTTCCTAAAATGAAGGTATCTTGGAGATATTATGTTTTCATAGGTGGGGACAATTAATTTTTCCTATTGTAGATGTTGGCTTTGTGTCAAGTTGACACAAGCTACAGTCATCCAAGAGGAGGGAGCCTCAATTGAAAAAAAAAAATGTCTCCTTAAGTTCTGGCTATAGGCAAGCCCATGGAGCACTGTTCTTAGTGATTGGTGGGGGGTGAGCCCAGCCCATTGTGGGCGGTGCCCTTTGGGCTGGTGTCCTGGGCTGTTTAAGGTGGAGCACTCCATGTGGAGCAAGCCAGTGAGCAGCACCAAGGACCCTGCTCCAGCTCTTCCTTCAGGTTCCTGCCCTGTGTGAGTTTGTCCTGACTTCCTTTGATGATGACTGTGATATGGGAATAGAAGCCAAATAAAGCTTTTCCAAGTTGCTTTGGTCACGGTGTTTCATCATAGCAATAGTCACCCTAAGTAAGACATCTATTTCCTTTTTTCTTCTCTCACATTAACAGAGGAGAGCAGGTCAGTAACGAATGAAGGGATACTGCAGAGATACGGTGGTACATGCTCAGGATTGGTTTGTTACAGAATATGTGCAGGAGTTACCTTTGTATCTCTAGAATATGTTTAGCTGACTTTCCCATAAGCACCCTCTATGTAGAGTCTAGATTTGAATGTGTGTGTAGCATTCTATGTATAAATGGAGGAACAGGGGAATCAGCATCTTTAGAAGCCCAGCTTTGCTTACCATTGTGCAATCTGAGAAAGTGAGCACCTTCCGTGCATCGAAGGAATTGAAGACAGAGTGTGCATCCCTTTGTAAACATAGAGACTTTGTTTAGATTGTATTTTTCCTGTCCTTACTCCTGCCTCCCCTTCTTTCTTTTTTAGCAATCTTAGACCATAGTTCAGGGTAGCCTTGATCTCAATGTGTAATCCAAGCTGGCTTCAGAAAAGGATGATTCTTGTGTACTGGATTTAAGTTGGTGTAAATCATTTCATAACATATACTACAATGTATACCTGATGAGCTGTTTCTACAATGATCATTTTTGTGTTCTACATAAATGAAAATTGTCAGTGGAACAACTTACCAATCAATTTACCAGGAAAGATTTAAGAATTGTTGTTTAAAACTAGGTTATCAGAGACAATAATTAAGCCCACTAAGCAAGTAGGAAATAACAAGGAAAATAACTAACATGGAAGATATCTGTGGGAAAGCAATGCTTGTGTACTGTTTTTTCAATGCCAAGCCATATCTCCAGCCCTAAAATATTTGTGTTATGACCATGCAAGAAAATGTTCAGCTACCATTTTTCAAACATAATAAAACTTCATCAAGCATAGTGTGGTACAGTGTGTGCTCTCTGACCTGAGTGTCACACAGAATATGACAGTGTTGATAGGTTTCCTACTTTAGTATGATCCTGGACGTGTAATCTCTTATTCCACTACTGCTTGTGTTATATAGTTGAGCTTCTGTGTTGTTAGGTATCTGTGTTCTTAGGCAAAGTGTCATGTGACTCAGGCTGGCCTTGAACTCCCGGTCTATGCCTCCTGAGTGCTGGGACTATAGATCTGTGCCACCAGGCCCAGTGGATCTCCTTTTCTCTTTTGTCTTTCTTATCCTTTGTGCTCTCTGTCAGCTCTCATGGCTTTGGATGTGGTCATCTGGCCTTGTTCCTTTCCCTCTCCTTTTCTCCCAACTAGCTGTTTTAGATTAGCAGTGACTAAAAAAACCCAGAATATAACTGGATTTATTAGACTAGTTCGTAAAAACTCCAAGGAGAACAGAGTCCAGGTAATGAGGAACCGTATGAGCCACTGAACAAGCTTGGTTGTAAAAATAGTGGGAACTGTTAAAAGAATGTGTGCTTGTCTTTCCAAGTAGTGCAACCATTTTCAGATAGGTGTGTTGCTACCGGAGTAGTAATACATTGTTTTGTAAGCGCACGCACAGACACACACACACACACACACACACACACACACACACACGGTCTCATTCTACACAGATCAAGTTTGTCTTAAACTGAACATAGGTCTGCCTGCCTCTGCCTCATGAGTGCAATGAGTGCTGGGATCAAAGGTGTGCACCACCACAACCAACCCAACGTTCAGAAATCATGCTCAAACCTTTATCTTATATTAATTTTTCACAATTTTATGAAATAATAGTCTGACTTAGATTAAAAGGTCCTAATGTTAGGAACACATATTTTGACTCATGAGCTTTGCCAACCCTCAGTGAACACAGCTAAGCAGATTATAAAGACTTTTTAAAAATAACATTATAGAAATTAGCACCATTTCATGTCTCATAGGATTTTTTGAAAATTCTGTTTTTTAATTTTTTTGCTGGAAATGATCATTTATGACACCATAATTCTTGAGTTTAGGAATACCTGATTGTTTAGTCAGTTATTCTTGTCCTGGTTATAGTAAGACATTTGCTTGGGATCTGAACCAGTTTTGAAAGACAAATCTATATGGACACAGTATCTTTCCAGTAAATCTTGTAACTATTTCTGTGACTACATATGTTAACATTTTTATAATTGGCTTCTAAATGGCAAACACAGATGGCTGGTGTCTGACTTTCCAGCCTGTTGTAGAATAAATGTTTTCTTAGTGAGTTAAAGTGTATGGTTTCAGTGTCAGGTGGTTATTTAACTGACTAGCTTTTTACTTATCTGTTACCGTATGATTTTCAGATTTAAAGTAAAAATAAGTAGTCAAAAGAAACTGGATATATATGATTTTGTTTTTCTTTCATTTTTAATTAAATAGAATTCATCCCAGATAGCTTTTGTATATATTATTTTTATGAGAATTTCAATTTTTATTTTTTTAAGAAAAAAAGCAGGAAGGATAATTTCATGTTTTTCATTAATTTGATGAGTAACTGGAACATTTTTTATCCAGTTCTGAACCCATGGTACTTGAGTTGGTGGAGCTGTGCATGCTTTGTGTTATGTAACCTCAGTTATCAAGAGGTTTAAATTATTGCTTAGAGGTGTCTTCTCTAAGTGATGGTTTCCCTCTTTTATTCCACATACACTTAGCTGAGTACTTTTCTAGGTGTTGAGTATAGACAATTGAACTAAAGTCCTTGCCCTCATGGAGCCTTCTGCTTAGTTACCCCCCACCCCGCCGCCAGACTTCATATAGTCTACCACAACAGACTAACACAGTGTTTGTAATTTTATGTGTTTAGAACTGACCCATTCCAAATACAGCTATCGAATCAATTATTGTCCATGCACGTCTTGTCCATTGGATTGAGTAGTGTAGACTGTTGCTTTGCTTTTCAGTCAAACTTTCCATAATTTGGTGTTTTCATTTTGCTTTTATTGATGCACTTATACACCTGGATAAACACTAGATAGATGATTTGGATACACTAAAAGAACCAGTTCTTTGTAGCTAAATCTTAATTCTCAAGTCTTCTGCTGTTAATGAATTTTAATGGTAGCATGATAGTACAAACAGGTTCTGAAGTATGCTTTAAGAATACCATTCTTAATATTTTTTGGCATTGCATTCTCCATGAAGGAACTTTTCTTTATACATGATGAGTTTGGACTTTTGATTCTATTTACAGATAGTATTTTAACAGCAATCCAGTCAGTTTATTTATAAGTGTATGCTTTAAGTGTATTCCAGGGGCTTAATACTGTACAAAGAAGCAGCACTGCACCTGTCTTCAAGCAGACAAGATTTAGATAACTGCTGAATTGCTAAATAACTTAGTATATTTTTATGTTGTATGGTACTAGTAGCTGCTGTATGTGCTTGCTGAATTAATGTCTTTAAAAAAATAGGACACCCCTATTTATATTATTTTACAGTTGGTAAAATTTAAAAATACTATAGTTATTCATAGTGTTTGTCACCTATTTTGATAGTAATATTAACATTATTAGTGATATTGTGTTATCAAAATATATAATAACTAATCTGCTATCTTTGTAATTAGTGCAGTTAATAGTTACAATATGTCTATAGTATTTCTAGTATATATGTATATATATTATACATGTATATATATATTCCATATATTTTTTTCAATATATATATTAAAAGCCCTAGTTCTTACTTTTGGCTTTCTTTGGTGTGATTAAAGAACTCAAATTTAAGAAGTGGCGGTACGTATTTGTTTCATATAAAATCAATTTTATAAAAAAGGAAATTCAGGCTGGGGAGATGGCTTACTACGCAAAGTGCTTGGTTGTGCAAGCAAAGTTCAGCTCCCCGATATCCATACAGGAAGCTAGGCCTGGTGGTGTGATCAGTTCCTGTCCTAGAGACAGGAAGATGCCTGGAATTGCTGGCCAGCCTACCTAGCCAACACTATGAGCTCCTGCTTCAGTGGTGAGTGATACAGGATGGTACCTGCAGTCAACCTCTGGCCTCCCATGCACACACTCAGGCAAGCACACCTATGTGCAAACACACACTACTCAAACCATACTCAGAGAAATTAAATGTAGGAGAATATATCTGTAGTTCAAGTTGGGAAACACACCAAAAATTTTATACCTTGTTTTTTTCAAAATTTAATTATGGCCGTGAGTATAGAGTTACTAAAATCCAAGCTAGATATAATTCTTGATGGTTGAAGTCTGAGTGAAACCTGCTGTGTCTCTGTTAAGAAGAGGTGTGATGGTTTTCTTTTCATAATAACTATACTAGGATACTGTTTTATAGCCACTACTATGTCATTAGTGGTTGGCATTAATATTTTTAATAAGGGTTCACTAGTTCACCCATCATTGAGTTATATATTGTATGATAATTCTGACTAGATGATAGTATTTTACATGTCCTGGTTCAATGGTAGACACATTGTATAATATTGAAGAAGACTTTTACCTTTTATGGTTTTCTTTCTGCCATGGAAACTGAAAGTGTTTGCTGTTCTTGTATCCCCAAATTCTTTAGTACTCATCCATTTTTCTTATAACTTTAATCAGTCTTTAATGTTTTAGTGATAGCTGTGTCTTTGTTGGCTACGTTTTTAAAAAGAAATCACAAGTGCAAGAGGTGCCCAGGATTAAACATCTCTTTAAAAACTAAACTTAAATAAGAATAGTCCCCTGCTGTGGATGGTAAGTAAATTGTGTGAATAGGTGGCACTAGGCTATGGGACTCCTGAGGGTGATATAGAAATGATTGAGGACTGGAAAGCATCCGTCTCTGGAATTTAGACTCTTCCCATTATTTTCTTTATAGATAAGGCTATAAACCACAAAAAGAGCTAAATCTTTTGGCGCAAGCCCATTATCTTTAGTGTAAAGTTAAATTCCCAGAAAACCCATGAAGGATGATGCACTTGACCTCCTTGTGTGTGTCATGCTTTAAGACATTTGAAAGCCAAAATAATACTCTCAGCACCTACCTCTCTCTCCATCTTCTGACTCTGGGCTGATTTTCTTTCTTTCAGACATTTTCATTTCTTAGTCCTGACTCAGAAACATCCAGTTTCTTTGCAGTTCAATAGTAATTACTCTATTAAGGAAAGGACAAATGTCCTTTATTTTGTCACTCCTTTTAGTGATAGCTTAATAAAATGACCCAGAGCTTTAATAATGATAAAAAAATCTTATGTGATAATGCCGCTTTCTTTTTCCCCCTATAGCTTTCTCAGTATCGACAAAGAAAAGCCCGACGTGATGGGCAGACTACTAAGAAGACTAAAAAAAATTCAAGCTATAAACAAGATGAACACAACTCAGATATTAATGAACAAACCGATGAGATGTCCATGAATGGTTCTCAAGGTGTAGAATCAGCCGGGGATCCTGATTCCACCGAAATGAGAGCTCTTCCCTGTGAACAAATAGAGAAGCATAATCAGGTCTTAGTTGAAGTGAGTGCTTCCAGATTTTCAGCATAGTTCTGAGTGGAACGTCAGTGTAATGAGAGTGGCCATCAGCTCAATGTGCAGTTTAATGATGACTTTTGTCCCTTCTTGCAAATTTCAACAGTATGGTAGTAACTAGACCTAAAATATTTACTAACTTCTGAGGGAGACCTGTGGGCTTCATGCAAAAGCTATTTATTGGACATTCACAATGCAAAGATGAGGAAAGCAGATACAAAGAAACCACTGTACTTCTATCAGACCCATGCCAGCAACAGTGAACCTGCTACTCAGAGTACAGAGGATGAGAGAGCCAGCCTTGTGTGTGCTACTTGGGTAGCTTTGGAAGGGTAATATTGGAAGGATGAGTGGGAATCATCGAGGGGTTAACAAAAAAGTAAGGGAAGCAAACTCTGTGCAGAAATAAAGGCATTTGCAAAGATAAAAAGCAGTGAGAATCCTAATTCCCAAGTCCCCTCCCTCTTGTTTAATGGTGTAACTTTCTGAAATGGTGGAGTTAGAATGGATTAAAATTGTTGGTAGGTGATTGGCTCACCAACCAAATGAGAAATAGAGGGATGGGTTACTCAGGAGAGTATTAGGAGGATGGATATTATTTTAATGTTGTGCTACAGTAGATTTATGTAGAAATAAGAGTAGAATAGATAGGAATTGTACTAGTTAGGGTTTCTGTTGCTGTGACAGAATACCACACCCCAGAAGCAGGGTGGAGAGGAAAGGGTTTATTCGGCTTATGCTTCCACATTTCTGTGCATCCCTGAGGAGGTTAGGGCAGGAACTCAAAGAGGACAGCAGCTGATGCAGAGGCCATTGGGGTGCTGCTTACTGGTTTGCTACCCATGGTTTGTTCAGCCTGTCTTCACACATGGGAAACTTCAGCACATGGAGACTGAAGTGCGATGTAGTTTCATTTCTGCTATTGTAATAAATACCCACAATAAAAGCATCTTAGGGGAAGAAAGAGTTTATTTGACTTATGATTCCAGGGTCTAGTCCACCATTGCAGGTAATTCAAGCTCGAGGAAGCTAATCCTATTTCATCCCACAACCCAGGGAGAATAAATGGGTGCCTACCTAGTGTTCAGCTCCCTTTGTGTACTCTTAAAAAGTTCAGGACCCAAGCCTAGGGAATACTGGTACATAGATTGGGCTCCATCTTTCCACATCAGTTAGCCCAATTAAGAAAAATTCATCACAGGCCACCCTATGTAGATGAGTCCTCACTGAGCCTCTCCCCAGGTGATTCTAGGTTGTGTCTAGGTGACAGGTAAAGTTAAACATTATATGGGAGGGCTGGGGAGGTAGAGGCGTGCCTGGGCTGTGGAGTGAGACTTTGGAGAGGGGGACAGGAGGAGAAGGGAAGAGGGAGACACACTGAAAATATAACTGAATGCACTGTAGAACAAGCATTTGTGCTTCACATGGAGACAGCTTTACTTACATGCCGCAGCTGTATTCTGTAAAGTTATCCCAATGATGAATTACTATGCACTGAACCATTTTTCCTACGGAAATCAGGTCTAGATTCCTGTGAGTTACTGGTCCCATTTTGTTAAACGGTTGGTAGAAGGCTGGCAAGAAGGGTTAGTGGGTAAAGGCACTTTCCGCAGAAGCATGGTGACCTGAGTTCAATTCCCAGAGCGCATGGAAACAGGAAAGGTAATCAATTCCCCCATATTTTCAGTGTAATCTCACATTTGACATGTTGTGCATGTTCCCCCATGTCATGCACATACAAATTAATAAATAAGTTAAATATATAATTAAAACAGCAGTTGTTACACAGTCTTTTATATGAATTTATGTTTCAAGTCTCCTTATGTAGGATAGATTGTTAAGTCATTAGAATTCAAGTGTGGTTCACATGTGTGTATTGAGTAAGAGGACTTGAAACAGAAGCATACACGTGCACACACACACTAGAGACCATGCCTGAGCCATATTGCTTTGGAGGTTGTCCTGGAACTTGCCCTGTAGACCAGACTGGCCTGGAACTCACAGAGATCCACCTGTCTCTGCCTCCCAAGTGCTGGGATTAAAGCTGTGCGCCACCAACGCCTGGCAAGATGGATTTTTTTTTAACATTATAGTATATTGATATTTGGATTCTTTGCTGTAGTTTATCATTTTGAATGCAGTAACTTTTGTTAATCTTTTTTTCTTTTTTGAGATGAGTCTCTCTATGTAGTCCTAGACATCCTCACAGAGACCCACCTGCCTCTGCCTCCAAAGTGCTGGGATTAAAGGCGTGTACCACCATAACTGACTAATCATTCTGTTTATTCTTTTGAGGGGGGCTGTTTTTTTTTTTTTGAGACAGGGTTTCTCTGTGTGACCCTGGCTCACTTGGACCTCACTCTATACCATGCTGGCCTTGAACTCACAGAGATCCACCTGCCTGTAACTCTCTTGTGCTGGGATTAAAGCCATGCATTACCACCCAGCTAAGCTATTTATTTTTGGTACAAGATTTTAATATACAATGTGTACTTAATTGTCATATGGAGGGATTGTGTCACAGGAAACTTTAGATTTAGAAAAGAACATCATGGGCTGCAGACCTCAATTCAGTTCCTAGAGCTCCGATTAAAATGCTGAGAGTGGTGGTTTACATTCATAATCCCCATGCTAGGGAGACAGATAGAAGGGTTCCTGGGGCTCAGTGGGCACCTAGTCTCACCTACTTAGTCAGTTCATGTCAGTGAGAGACCTTGTCTCAAGGCAGATCAGCAGTCATCCTGAGGATGGTACCGGAAGTAGTCCTGTAACTAATTAACTGTGTGAACAGAGCCTCCTGAGTTAGGAACTCTAGGATTTTAGACTAGAGACAAGCTTATTTCTTTTCCTGCAAGCAGTCACTACTTCTTGGGAAGGCCATTGCAGAACTTGATCTTGAATGTTAAATAGTGTTTCTGTAGGAATAGATGAGGAATTACAGTGATAGTATTTATAAACTCTCTTTTGTTTTATGTTAGAGTTGTGTGTGTGTGTGTGTGTGTGTGTGTGTGTGTGTGTGTGTTTGTCTTGGACAGTAAAAACAGAAACTAGAATAATTAGTATTTATTTCTTTATTCTATTCCTTCACACTTGAGAGAGAACTTCCAATGCCCCTGACCTCATGCCCAAAATCTGGGATAAAGCAAAAATGTGTGATATTTACATTGTTTATCTGTTTAGATATTTTGACTATGGGGGTTTATGTTTGCTTCCCATAAATGCAGTGCCCATGGAGGCCAGAAGACCAGCTAATAGTCTTAACTGCTGAGCCATTTCTCTAGCCTTCAGCAAATGTTTTTAATCGAGTGCTTGGTACGCTGTAAGAGCATTGTAACATCAAAGGGTGCCATTGCTCTCAGGTAATTACTTTTAGCATCAAGATCTGATGAATACTTTTGAAGAAGTGATACTTCTGATAGGAGCATTTAGGACTCTTATTTAGGAGTTATAAAGTGTGGAGAAATCATACTTTGGTGTTTATGACTTACAAAGGGTAGGTACTGTGTATAAGAACATGTACCCTTGATAATTTTTTATATGGAGAACAATTTACTACTTAGACTCTAATTCATAGGTGAAATTTTAAAGATCTGAATAATTTCTGCTAGGTTTTCATAGTATATCACTTGGTTTTAGTAGCTTTTTATGTAGTAGTTAATCATTATGCTACCAACAATAGTTGCTTTGTGTAAGTAAATACAGGGAAAAGGTATAATTGTAAATTGTTTACTTTTCTTTTAGCCTGAAAGTGAAATTTCTGTGACAGCAAACTACTACATTTCACAAGAGGTAAGATTAACAATTTCAAATTTTATAGGCAAAAATTGTTATAACACTAAAATTATTGATTGTTGGTACTTTATTTCTTGTATTTTTACAGACTTCTGTTACATTTCTATAAATACAATAACAACAGCATAAATGGTTAGCAAGCCATAGATATATTCTACTGCTGCTGTTTTTCACAATGCTAGCTGACACATTTACCATTCTGTAGATTTATCTTCAAATACATAGAGATTCTGATTAGTATCTGGGAAAGGCTTTCATACTGGGTTTCTAGGCAGAAGGCCATGGTGACCTGGTTAGCGTCTGGGAGAGGCCCTGCTGCTGGGTTTCTAAATGGAAGACCACTGAGAACTGGTCTCATTTAGCACAGCAGTTTTTCTTCTTTTTGATAATTTGTTTTGAGTAGAGCTTTCCACAAATGTGTGGATTCACATTAACCATATGGACTTTTTTATTGGCACTAATGGTGTGGCAGTGACTTTAGGTGAGAAACTGTTAAGTGGAGATGATCTCTTTATGACGAGTCCTCGTCCTATGATGGTAATAGTTTTGTGTTATTTGTCTTAGTGTTTTAATATGATCACCATTTCTTTGGTACAGAGTTAGAGAACATGAAAACCTTTCTCTAAGTGTAAATGTGTCAGCAATTAGTACATTTCATAAATTTCAGTGTATTGCAGGTTTCAAATAGAAAAGAGAACCATTTATGCTTAAATTAACATAACACAATTTTATATTTATAATATGGGTAGAACCTTTTTTCTGAAGAAATGTAATATATTTTGGAGCTAAGAATGCACTTATTGGTAGACTGACCAGGAAATTAACCAACAATGGATAAATAAATGGATATCTGATTCAAACTATATAAAATTTCCTCTGTGGTCAGTATGGATTTACAAGCACAGCCTCTAAAAACTACCTTTGAAGAATACTATGCCAAAAAAGGATGGGATAAGTACAAGCGAAAGCCATTCGTGTCAAGCAAGCTAGCAGTGTAAAAGACACTCTGACAAGTGTCACACACAGAGGACAAGAGAGACAATCTCAGTCACAAAAGCACAGGGAAGAGTAAGTAATCAGAAAGTAGATGAATGAAGGAAAAGTAGGTAGAAAGCATTTCTGTCTTACTCTGCATTTCAACAAACCCCCAATGGGGGACTGGGAGTGGATGGGGATGCAAAAAACCAAACCAAACCAAGAAAACTTGGAACCAGAAAACAATCAACAGAGTTATAGGAAACAGCAGAGTGCGGTCAATAATAGCACTAATTGTAAATAGACCCTACTTTTCAATTAAAATTGGTTGGACGACAAAATAAAGAAAATATAATTGCTTGTTGTCTGTGAGAAATACATCTCACCGACAAAGACATTGTACACTGAAAGTGAATGTATCAGAGTGCACATACCAGGTAAGAGGAAGCTTAAAAACCAACACAGGTAGGTGTACTCTTATCTGATGAATGCACTTTATACCAGAGTCGATCAGAAAGGATAAAGAAGGTCGCTGCATGTTAATGAAGCAAGGATAATCCTTTCTACTTCTTGCAGCCCTTTCTGTACGCCTGAGAGAGTGAATGCTGCAAATCATGAGATGGAGACCTTTGAGCAATTGCCAATTTTACATGTTTGATCGTCATTTCTGTCCTATCCCAACAGGGATGTTTCCTTCACTAGCTGGTCTCTAATGCTTCTGATGCCTTGGTTAGTGTAATCAGATCCTGGCTGGTTTTTCCAGTTTGAACTGTGGTAAAGTCTTGACTCATTCCCAGCCTTCAGTCCTCTGAATTTGGTGGACATGGGCATTGCTGTTTGGGCAGTTTGGGCACCATTGCCAACTGTGGTGCTAAAGCGTTTATGGAAGCTCTTTAGGTTGGCACAAACACTTCTAAGATCATACAATAGTGTTTAGGCTTTTCACATGCCTGTCTGGCAGCAAGAAAGCAGTTGTGATGACAAAACAAGAGAATGAAGAGTGTACTGAGGAGTCTTCCACTGTGGGCTCCTTCATTGTGCCTGTTGGCTGGGCTATCAACGTGATGTTTCTTTCATCTTAGAGACCGGTAGACAGTTGCAGAGGAGAGGGAAGCCAAAGAGGCGATGACAAAGCCTTTTCAGGGGCTGGGGAGATGGTGCAGCTCTGAAGTACTTGCTGTTGAAGAATGGGGTCCTGGGTTTGCTTCCTCAGCACCTGTGTTAAAGCCAGGTGTGATTGGTGGTTTCTGTAATCACAGCACTGGGGAAGTCAACACAGGATTCCTGGGGCTTTGGCTCAGTCAGTCCAGCGGAACCAGTGAGTCTCAGGTTCATGTTTCAGCTCTCCATCTCAAAATATTAGGATGGAGAGAGACTGAGAAAGACACCTGACATTGAACTCTGACCTCACATCCATACACTGAAAGCCATAACAGTCCGTAGCCTGTCCAAATATCCTTTGTATGGAAAAGGAGTGTGAAGAAATTAGTGCTGAATGGAAGAGAAGCTGCATTGTAAGATCAAAGATTGTTTTTATATCAATAAATGACTGTTGTTTTCAGAAAAAACAGGAAAGCCTACAAATTTATTAAGGATATATAGTATTTAAACTATTTATGATACTAATGTTTTATACTGTGTAAAGGCACCCACCCACCTTGCTTAAAATGCTTTCCTGCATGTACTTCTATTTGTTTTTAATAGTTAACAAAATCAGTTATCTCCTTTCTGCAGTGCAGAAATCCTTATATGCTGTTAAGGTATCTATCTCATTACTACCAAAGCAGGTTTTTGTACTAATGAACTTGCAGGAGGTAGAAATGTTTTAAAATGGACTGTGCTGTGGTATTTTAAGTTTCATCCCTCTGCCTGAGGAATGTTGCTAGTACTGAATAATTAAAAACTGTGGATTGATTTAGGAAGAAGAATTTGGCCTTGAAAACTCTCATTCTGAACAAGGAGCTCAGTGCAGTCAGACCCATGTCGAGATGACTGAAAATGATTTGGCTGGGAAACAGCATGAGATTGAAGAACTAACTCAACAATTGGAAGGAATGAGGGCCACCTGTGGGACGGAAGTGCTGCAGAGGGTGCGCTCACCTCTGGTTTGTTATACATGTGAATGGTAGTGTGTGTGTGTGCTCATTACACGGGGGGCTTTGCAATGACAACCCAGGTCATTTCATAATTTTTGTTCCTGTACATAGATAGCATCCACAAACCCATTTAAAATGAGGATTGCAGAAACACAGCTGTAATATTAGGACTTTCAAAATTTAACTATGTAAAGTAGGTAGAGTGAAACCACTCCTGTAAGACAGGTGTCTTTTTTGTCATCAGTCTGAGAGAAGTTGGTGTAAACCACAAAAAGTATGACTTAAACCCCTTAGGAATGTCAGCAAGTCCTTGTAAGTCATCTTACTGGTGACAGTGACATCTGCTTTGCATGTAAGTCAAGATGAAGAGGGACACTGATAAAAATGACAGCATACTTCATCCCAGCCTCTTCAGAATCAAGCTCAGGTTAAACGTGGCTGTTGCTATTGTGTAGAATAAATCAGGGCACTCCAAAGTATAAAGATGCTTCTCCTATACGAAAACATAGAAAAAGTCAACCCAAATATATTCTCTTTCTTCCTTAATGCAGATACATGTTTTCAAAGTTAGTTTTGAAATAAAATTTATTTGGACAGGCCAGTAGCTGTCAGGAAAAACTACTAAACTGTGGGGGGGAAAAACACCTAAAAGCGAATATTTACAGTCTTCACTGGTTTCTCTTAGTTATATGAATTTGAAGCTGCCATCAAACAACGAGACAGCATCATTACTCAGCTAATTGCTAATTTGCAGCAAGCAAGAAAAGAGAAGGATGAGACAATGAAAGAATTTTTCCAATTGACAGAACAAAGTCAGAAATTACAGATTCAATTCCAGCATGTAAGTGTTATGTGTCCAACATAGTTTATTGATTTTGTAGCAATGAATTATAACTTTTTCACATTCCTGAACAAATCAAAATTTGCTATTAAGCCATTTTCTGCTTTTGGTGTACTAAAAGAAGTATTTTAGTGTACTATGGTAGTGTATTGAAAACATTGGTAAATTTGTGTTGTTATAGTAATCAGTAATTGTTTGTTTGTTTTTTGGAGACAGAGTTTCTCTATGTAGCTTTGGAGTCTTTCCCGGAAATCACTATGTAGACCAGGCTGGCCTCCTCACATCGATCCGCATGCCTCTGCCTCCCGAGTCCTGGTGTCCAAGGTGTACCCTGCCACCATTGACCAGCATAGCCAAGAATTGAATTCATATTTCGTGAGTGGTTTCCTGTTATTATTTATATAAAAACTCCCTATTTCTATTTTGAAAGTCTACAAAATCTTACCAAGGTGGGCTGAGTGGATTTTTGCAGACATCACTCTAGTTGTGTTGGATCTTTGTAATCCTGGCATGGTTTTAGTCAGGTTGTAAATGGTAACTGGATCTACTCTACACCTTTCATTTACTTTATGTTTACTTGGGAATCCACCCTGGCTAGTATTATAACCTAGAGTTATCTGAAAGAAGGGAACCTCACTTGAGAAAATGCCTCCATAAGATTGGCCTGTGAGGCATTTTCCTAACTAGTGATTGGTGAGAGAGGGCTCAGCCCATTATGAGTAGTGCCATCCTAGGAAGGTGGTCCTGTTTTCTCTAAGAAAGCAGGTTGAGCAAACCACGAGGAGTAAGTCACCAAGCAGCAATCCTCCATGGCCTCTAAGACAGCTCCTGCTTCCAGCTTCCTGCTCAGTTTGAGTTCTTGGCTTGACATCCTTTGATGATGGAAGCATAAGGCAAATAAACCCTTCCTCACCAACTTGGTTTTGGCGGTGGTGTTTTATTCAGCAGCAGGAACCCTGGCTATCACAATGGCTGATTGCATTGCTCAGAGTTTGACAGCAAGTATCCCAAAACAACATGAAATATCTTAAGCCTGAGAGTTCACTGGAAGTATGCAGGTGTCCTACAGAATTTAGGGACAGAAACATAGTCAAGACTTTGAAAGATATTGGAACTAGAGTCTGAAAAGTAGCCAGGATGCAGCAGTATGTTCCTGACCACTTCTCTTGGCATTGTGACCTCGGTCCTCTTTCCCTCACTAGAACTGCTTTGTCTGAACTATCTTTTAGAGGATACTTTGGTGTCTCAGTCTATCAGTCCAGTCATAGCATCAGCAGATCTCAAAGTCCTGAAGAGAAGAGAGGTCACAGAGAGCCAGTGTCGGCAGAATAAGACTCCAGAAGTCTGTTCATGAACAGTCATTGAGCGTTCAGTAGGTTGAAGTTTCCTTCTGTTTTCAAGTTACAGGCCAGTGAGACATTGCGTAGCAGCACCCACAGTACCACTGCTGCGGAGCTCGTTCAAGTGAAGCAGCAGGTCCACGCCCAACACCAGCAGCTGGAGAAGCAAAACCATTTGCTAAAGGATTATCAGAAAAAGGAGGAGGAATTAAAAAATCAAATCTCCTTTTTACAAGAGAAAATTGAAGTATGTGAAATGGTAAGGATGTCAGCTAGCTTGTCATAACTTTGTAATCTTGTTACTATGCATGTGAATTAGAAACGTTTGTAATTAAGTCAAACTTGTTGAATATGGAAAATAATTTATTTCAAAGCAGTTAGAATCTCATACTAACTGTATATCTTCCACTCATATAGTTGTTAAGATAATGCTGCCCACTATTGTATTCATTAAAGTGGTATGCATATGTTACCTGAAGACCCACTATAACCTAAATTTATGACTCAAATATCTATCTTGTCCCATCTGAATTATTCCCATCTATTTTAGCTATAATACTGAAATATTTCATGTTCTTTGGATTTTATGGTCTTTCCACAGCCCAATGAATTTAAAAAGACAAATACTAGTTAGGACGTTATTAGTGTGCAGATGGGAGGGTGTTAGCAGGCAGACGTTGTGGCATTAGACTGATATGAACTCATTTATGAATCATATTGTAGTGCAGTTTATGCCCATGCGCTGCAGTTCTTCACCACAATTTCCAACATTGTTTTTTTCTTTTTTTCCTATTTTTTTATTTAAATTAGAAACAAGATTGTTTTTATATGTCCATTCCAGTTCCCTTTTCCTCCCCTCCTCCCTGCCCCCCACCAGCTCCCTACCCCTAACCCTTTCTGCTCCCCAGGGAGGGTGAGGCCTTCTATGGGGGATCTTTAAAGTCTGCCATATCTTTTGGAGCAAGGCCTAGGCCCTCCCATATATATCTAGGCTGAGAGAAAATCATTCTATGTGGAATGGGCTCCCAAAGTCCATTCATATGCCAGAGATAAATACTGATCTACTACAAAAAGCCCCGTAGATTGCCAAGTCCTCCTCACTGACACCCATGTTCAAGGGGTCTGGATCAGTCCTATACTGCTTTCCTAGCTACCAGTCTGGGGTCCATGAGCTCCCCCTTGTTCAGGTCATCTGTTTCTGTGGGTTTCACCAGCTTGGTCTTGACCTCTTTGCTCATCACTCCTCCCTCTCTGCAACTGGATTCTAGAGTTCAGCTCAGTGTTTAGCTGTGGGTGTCTGCTTCTGCTTCCATCAGCTACTAGATGAAGGCTCTAGGATGGCATATAAGGTAATTATCAATCTCATTATTGGAGAAGGGTATTTAAGATAGCCTCTCGACTATTGATTAAATTACTAGTTGGGGTCAACCTTGTAGATCTGTGGACATTCCCCTAGTGCCAGTTTTCTCTTTAAACCTGTAATGGCTCCCTCTATTATGGTATCTCTTACCTTGCTCTCCTCATTCTTCCCCCAACTCAACTTTCCTGCTCCCTCATGTCTTCCTCTCCGCTCCTCTTCTGTCCTTCTCTTTCTCTTAGCTCCTGCTCCCCTCCCCCCACTCTTTCCCCTTTTCCGGGGGAACATGTATGTTTCTCTTAGCCTTTTTTCCTAGCTTCTCTGGTGGTATGATTGTAGGCTGGTAATCCTTTGCTCTATGTCTAAAATCCATGTATGAGAGAGTACATACCATATTTGTCTTTTTGTGACTGGGTTACCTCACTCATGATGGTTTCTTCTAGTTCCAACCATTTGTCTGCGAATTTCAAGATTCCATTGTTTTTTTCTGCTAAGTAGTACTCCATTGTGTAAATGTACCACATATTGTCTATCCATTTTTCAATTAAGGATAATATAGGTTGCTTCCAGGTCTGGCTATTACAAATAATGCTGCTATGAACATAGTTGAACAGATGTCCTTGTTGTATGACTGTGCATCTTTTGGGTATATGCCTAAGAGTGGGTTTGCTAGATCTTGTTGTAGACTGATTCCGTATTGCTGAGGAATCATTTCCAAAGTGGCTGTACGAGTTGGCCCTCCCACCAGTAGTAGAGGAGTGTTCCCCTTTCTCCACATCCTCTCCAGCATAAACTGTCTTTGGTGTTTTTGATTTTAGCCATTCTGACAGGAGGAACATGGTATCTCAGAGTTGTTTTGATTTGCATTTCTCTGATGGCTAAGGATGTTGAGCACTTTCTTAAGTGTCTCTCAGCCATTTTAGACTCCTGTATTGAGAATTCTCTATTTAGTTCTGTACCCCACTTTTTAATTGGATTCTTTGGTCGTTTGGAGACTTGCTTCTTTAGTTCTTTGTAAATTTTGGAGATCAGCCCTCTGTCAGATATGGGGTTGGTGAAGATCTTTTCCCATTCTGTGGTCTGCTGGTTTGTCATGATGACTGTGTCCTTTGCCTTATAGAAGCTTCTCAGTTTCAGGAGGTCTCATTTATTAATTGTCAATCTCAGTGTCTGTGCTACTGGTGTTATGTTCAGGAAGCAGTCTCCTGTAACAACTTGTTCAAGGGTACTTCCACTTTCTCTTCTAAGAGGTTCAGCATGACTGGATTTATGTTGTGGTCTTTGATCCATTTGGACTTAAGTTTTGTGTATGGCGATAGACATGGATCTATCTACAGCTTTGTACATGCCAGCATCCAGTTATGTCATCACGATTTGTTGAAGAGACTTTCTGTTTTCTATTGTATAGTTTTAGTGTTTTTGTCAAAAATCAGGTGTTCGTAGCTGTGTAGGTTAATATCAGGTTTTTCAATTTGATTCCATTGGTCTACCTGTCTGTTTTTGTGCTAATATCAAGCTGTTTTCAGGACTGTAGCTCTATAGTATTGCTTGAAGTCAGAATTGGTGATGTCTCTAGAAGTTCCTGTATTGTGCAGTTTTGTTGTGGCTATTCTGGGTCTTTTGTTTCTCCATATAAAGTAGATTATTATTCTTTGAAGGTATGTGAAGAATTGTGCTGGGATTTTGATAGGGATTGCATTGAATCTGTAGCTTGCTTTTGGCAAGATTGCCATTTTTACTATGATGATCCTACCTATCCAAGTGAATAGGAGATCTTTCCATTTTTTGGTATCTTCTTTAATTTCTTTCTTTAAAGACTCAAAGTTCTTGCTATAGTATGTGGTCTTTAACTTGTTTGGTTAGCATTGCCCCCAAGATATTTTATGTTGTTTGTGACTATTGTAAAGGGTGATGTTTGTCTGATTTTTTTTCTCAGCACATTTATTGTCTGTATATAGTAGGTCTACTTTTGTTTTTGTTTTTTATTTTTATTTTTTGAGTTAATCTTGTATCCTGCCCCTTTGCTGAAGGTGTTTATCAGTTGTAGGTGTTTCTGTGTAGAGTTTTCAGGTTACTTATGTAAACTATCATATCATCTGGAAATAGTGAAAGTTTGACTTCTTTGTTTCCAATTTGTATCCCCTTGATTTCCTTTTGTTGTCTTATTGCTCTAGCTAGAACTTCAAGTACCATATTGAAGAGTTATGGAGAGAGTGCATAGCCTTGTCTAGTTCCTGATTTTAGAAGAATCACGTTGAGTTTCTCTCCATTTAGATTAATATTGGCTGTTGGTTTACTGTATATTGCTTTTATTATTTTTTGGTATTTTCCTGTTATCTGTGATCTCTGTAGGATCTTTATCATGAAGGTGTGTTGGATATTGTCGAAGACTTTTTTTAGCATCTAGTGAGGTGATCATGTGGTTTTTCTTTTGCAGTTTATTTATATGGTAGATCACATTGGTAGGTTTTCACATGTGGAACCATCCCTGAATCAGTAGGTTGAATCCTTCTTGATCAAGGTGGATGATTTTTCTGATGTATTCTTGGATTCAATTTGCCAGTATTTTAGTGAGTATTTTTGGATCAATATTCATGAGGGATACTGGTTTGTAGTTCTCTTTCTTAGTTGTGTCTTTGTGTGACTTGGGTATGAAAGTAATTGTAGCTTCATAAAGAGTTTTGGCAATGAACCTTCTGTTTTGTGGAACAATTTCAGGAGTATTGGTATTAGATATGTTCTTTGAATTTCTGGTAGAATTGTGCACAGAAGCCATCTGGGCATGGGCTTGTTTTGGTTGGGAGACTTCTGATGACTGCTTCCATTTCATTAGGGGTTACAGGTCTGTTTCAATAGCTTATCTGTTCTTTTGTTTTGTTTTGTTTTAATAACTGTAGTATTTTCCCCCTTTTAAAATTTACATTAGAAACAAGCTTCTTTTACATGTCAATCCCAGTTCCCTCTGCCTCCCCTCCTTCTTGTCCCCCACTGACTCCTATCCCTTCCCCATTTTGCTCCCCAGGGAGGGTGAGGCCTTCCATGGGGGATCTTCAAAGTCTGTCATATCATTTGGAGCAGGGCCTAGAAACCCCTCCCCCCACCTTGTGTCTAGGCTGAGAGAGTATGCATCTATGAGTATTGTGCTCCCATAGTCCGTTCTTGTACTGGGGATAAATACTGACCCACTACCAGAGGCCCCATAGATTAACCAGACTTCCAAACTGACATCCTTGTTCAGGGGGTCTGGAACAGTCCTATGCTGGTTTCCCAGCTATCAATCTGAGGTCCATGAGCTGTTTCTGTGGGTTTCACCAACCTGGTTTTGACCCTTTTGCTCATCACTCCTCCCTCTCTGCAACTGGATTCCAGAGTCCACGTATCTGTTCTTCATTTAATTTTGGTAAGTAAAAGGTATCCAGAAAATTGTCCATTCCTTTGAATTTTCGAATTTTGTGGAGTCCAGGTTTAGATTCTCTGGATTTCCTCAGTGTCTGTTGTTAGGTCCCCCTTTTCATTTCTTATTTGGTTAATTTGCATGTTCTTTCCCTGCATTAGTTTGAATAAAAGTTTGTCTTGTTGATTTTATCAAAGAACCAACCCTTTGTTACATTGATTCTTGCTATTGTTTTCTTTGTTTAGACTTTATTGATTTCAGCCCTCAGTTTGATTATTTCCTGGCATCTACTCCCTTGGGGTGAGCCTGCTTCAATTTATTTAGAGCTTTCAGTCGAGCTTTTAATTTTCTAGTTTGACTATTCTCCAGTGTCTTCATGTGAGCACTTAGTGGTATGAACTTTCCTCTCAGCACTGCTTTCAAAGTGTCCTACAAGTTTGGGTATGTTGTGTCTTTATTTTCATTAAATTCTAGGAAGTCTTTAATTTCTTTCTTTATTTCTTCCTTGACCCAGAAATGGTGCAATTGCACATTGTTCAATTTCCATGAGTTTGTAGGTTTTCTGCAAATTGTGTTGTTGCTGAATTCTTTAAAGCATGATTATCTGTTAAGATACAGGGGGTTATTCCAATTTTTTTGTACCTGTTGAATTTCCTATGTTGCCAAGTATGTGGTCAGTTTTAGAGAAGGTTCCATGTGGTGCTGAGAATTACGTACATTCTTTTGTGTTTGGATGGAATGTTGTTTATGTGTCTGTTAAACCCAATTGGATCATAACTTCTGTTAGTTTCTTTGTTAAATTTCTCTCTGGTTGTCCTGTCTAATTTTGAGAATGGGATGTTGAAGTCTCTCACTATAAGTGTGTGAAGTCTTATGTGTGATTTGAGTTTTAGTAATGTTTCTTTTCTGAACTTGGGTGCCTTTGTATTTGAGGCATAGCGTTAAGATTTGCGACTTCTTTCTGATGGATTTTTCCTGTAATGAATATGAAATGACCTTCTTTATCTCTTTTGATTGATTTTAGTTTGAAGTCTAATTTGTTTGATACTAGGATAACTACACCAGCTTTTTTCATGGATCCTTTTTGAATGGAAAATCTTATCCCAAGCCTTTACTCTGAGGTGTTACTTGTCTTTGAAGTTGAGGTGTGTTTCTTGTATACAGCAGAAGGGTGGATTCTCTCTTCGTATCCATTCTCTTAGCAAGTGTCTTTTTATAGGCTAGTTGAGACCAGGGAAATTAAGGACCATTGAGTGTTAATTCTTGTTTGTTTTTGACTTGTTGTTGTTGTTGTTATTGTCTGTGGATTTACCATTTGGTTTTCTATTGGCTTTTGGTAAAGTGGAATTATATATTGCCTATGTTTTTGTGAGTGTAGTTGACTTCTTTGGGTTGGAGTTTTACTTCCAGTACTTACTGTAGTGGATATGTATTGTTTAAATCTGGTTTTGTCATGGAATATCTTGTTTTCTCCATCTATAGTGATTGAAAGCTTTGCTGGTATGGTTGTCTAGACTGTCATCTGTGATCTCTTAGTGTTTGTTTATCCATGACCTTCTGCTTCTTTCAGTGTTTCGTTGGAGAAGTCACGTGTAATTCTGACAGGTTTGCCTTTGTGTGTTACTTGGCCTTTTTCCTTTGCTTCTCTTAATATTCTTTCTTTATTCTGTATGTTTGGTGTTTTAATTATTATGTGACGAGGGGAGTTTTTTTTTTAGTGGTCCTCCCTATTTGGTGTTCTGTAGGCTTCTTGTACTTTCATTGGCATGTCTTTCTTTAGGTTGAGAAACATTTTTTTCTATGATTTTGTTGAATATGTTTTCTATACCTTTGAGGTGAATTTCTTCACCTTCTATACCTATTATTCTTATGTTTGACCTTTTCACGGGTGTCCTGTATTCTCTGGATATTTTCTGTTAGGGATTTTTGGAGTTAAGATTATCTTTGGTCCATGAATCTATTTCTCCTAGTATATCTTCAACACCTGAGATTCTCTCTTCCATCTCTTGTATTCTGTTGGTTATTCTTGCATCTGTAGTACCTGATCCTTTACCCATCTTTTCTATTTCCAGCTTTCCCTCAGACTGTTTTTTTTTTTAATTGTCTTTATTTCAGCTTTCAAACCTTGCACTGTTTGAATTGTTTCCTGCAATTTTAGGGTTGTCTTTTCTTCCATTCTTTAAAGGTTTTTCTCATTTTTTCTTTTATTGTCTGTATCATCTTCATGAAGATGTTTTTAAGGTCATTCTCTGCTGCTTCATCTGTGTGGACATGTTCAGGTCTTGCTGATGTAGAGTCCCTAGACTCTGGTGGCATCATATTCGTTTTTCTGTTGTTGAATGTGTTCTTATATTGTAGCCTTCCCATCTCTTCTGCGGGTGGGTGCAGGTGGGTGCAGGTGGGGTCTCTTCTTCTCCTGGTAGGTAAGGGTCCAAGGTTCTCTTTTGGTGGGTGCAAGCGGGTCCACTATTGTGATGGGTCTCACGGTGGATGCAGGTGGGTCTGAGGCCCTGCTTCTCCCAGTGTGGCAGCAGGACAAGCACAGTGCTGTCCACAGACTCCAGGTTGCTTGGCCCGCCATGGCGAGTTGACCCATGTTGGTTTTTTTCCTTATATTGAGGATGTTGAGTATTGTTGGATGATCCTGCTTCATCTTTACTTCTGTGAGTATGTACATGCATGCCTGGCTCAGGGTATGATTTTTCTAGAGGAGCCATAATTGTCAAAGGCTGAAGGCATTTTGGTGTTTTTCCATGGACTGTACTTAGAGGGGTACTCTCAGTGCTTCCTTCAGAGGGCTTTCTTCTGTCTGAGCTTTGACATTTTTTCTTTCGATGTATTTTACATTTATTCAAAATCCCTTTGAGTTCTGTTTGTCAAGGACCTTTGTGATATAATTCACCTGCCTTTGGCCAGTTCTGTAGATTTTATTTCATGCTTAGTATTTGGGTCTGAAGCACCTTTGCCCACAGAGAAAACTCAATAACAGAATCAAAACTCTCCCTGAGCCTGTGCTTCACTTGGTGCTTTTATGGGATTGTGATATGCCTGTGCTTGGTGTGGTCATCTGGGCTGAGCTGTTACCTACAGTTGTGTAATTGACCCCAAATGGGAACCGCACAAAAACTGTCTTCAGGTTTCTGTTTGAGCTGAAATTGTAGATCTAGCTCCATAGCTATGTATACTACAGTTATCATAGATTTCCCTTAAGTTTCCGGCAGTGAAATGAAAAGATTCAAGGAAATGTCTCCTATCATTGGGACACCTTCAGATCACTAGTGTTTGTGGGAATAAATTGAACTTCTTTTAAATCTTTTTCTGGGAGTAGTCTGAGAGTGCTTAATATTATAATTAGCTATCAAAAGCTTAAATAATTGGGATCTTAATCAGTTAACTTTTAAAGTGAAGATATAACGGGTTAGCAAAGATTTAGTGGATGTTTAATTATTATGATTATTTACTTGTCTGGGGAGTGAACTCAGGTCATCAGAGCCATCTCATCAGTCTGGCAGTCTTTTCTCTTCCTTCTTTTCTTCATTCTTTCGTGGCAGTGCTGGGATTAGAACCCTGCAACTCATACATGCTAAGCAAATCAGGGTGTATAGTTTTAATTTAAAAATTTGTTATGCTTTTATTATTTTAAAAATTTTCATACAACATATTATTATCATAGTCTCCCAATATATTATCATATATTCTCACCAACCTTAATTAAAAATTTTAATCACAGCAGATATAATTCAATATTTCTTCCTAAGAAGTTCTGAACTGCTGTTGATCTCTTGTTTGCTCCTAAGTGTCTATGTTTACAGGTCTTATCTTGGAGATAATTGAGTGGTAGGCCCACCAATTGTTTTTTATAGAATGATGTAAAAATTTGATTTTCATCTATTTTTTGTCAAAGTTACCACATATTGTTATACTTTCTTTTTTTTTCTTCTGAAGGAACAAGATAAGAAATTAGAAAATGCTAATAACAAAATACAAGAAAAGCAGCTAATCATTGAAACCTTGAACAAAAGAAAAATAGAAGAAGAGAAGAAAACTGCTGCCCTGCAGAATGAGTTAGAAACTGCTGATAAATTAGTAGGAGACTTAAAACAACAGCTTACAGAAAAGGACCAAGAGACCCAAAACTTAAAACTGGAGTTAGCCAATTGTAAAGAAAAAGAGAACCAGTACGTTTTAGAAATTAAACAGTTCATGGGGACAGTTGAAGAACTCCAGAAGAGAAATTACAGAGATAACCATATAGATACTGACATATTGCAAAGAATGGAGAAAGAAACACAGCGGAAATTAGACCACCTCCAAGCAGAGCTAGATGAGATGTATGGGAGACAGATAGTGCACATGAAGCAAGAATTAATAAAGCAACATCAGTCTCAGATAGAGGATCTTAAATCCCAGCATAAAGGAGAAATGGAGACTACTTTAAAGTCATATGCACACACTACTGTCGGTACATGCAATATGCATAAAGATTATAAAGAACAACTAGAGTTATTGAATGTGTCGATAAATGAACTGAATAAAAAATTGCAAAATACTCTTTCTGAAAAGGAGAACCTTAGTGATGAGCTCTGTGTAGTCAAGAGAGAAAAATGTGTGCTTCAGAGTCAGTTTAATGATCTTTTAGAAGAATTAAACTTTTTAAGAGACCAGATTCATAGAGCAAGGCAGACAGTATCTGAACAAGAATGTAAACTGAATGACGCACGCAGGTCCCTCAGCACAGTGAAAGAGTTGAAAGCTGAGATCTCAGCAGCATCCGACTTCCAGAAGGAGCTGGAGTTAAAACATGAATCAGAAATTACAAATTACAAAATAAAGCTTGAAATGCTAGAAAAAGAAAAGAACGAGGTACTAAACAGAATGGCTGAGTCCCAAGAGGCGGAGCTGGAGCGATTGAGAACACAGCTCCTCTTCAGTCATGAAGAAGAACTTTCCAAGTTGAAAGAAGATCTGGAAGTTGAACATCGAATAAATGTTGAAAAACTTAAAGAGAATTTGGCCCTTCACCACAAGCATCAGATAGAAGAGTTAGAAAATGAAATGAGTAAGAAGACTGAAATTATGCAGTGCGAAAAAGACAACTTGATAAGTAAGCAGAATCAGCTGACTTTAGAAATTTGTGAGCTGAGAGATTTACAGCAGTCCCATATTGATTTGAAATCAGAACAAATGACTCTTCAGATTAATGAGCTTAAAAAAGAAATTGATATCCTCAAACTTGAAGAAAAGGAAAAGCATACACTTGAGCAAGAAATTCAGGAGTTACAGCTTAAAACTGACCTTCTAGAAAAACAACTGCAGCAAAAAGAGGAGGACCTTCAAGAAAAATGTACACAACTTGAAGCAGAGAATAGCATTCTTAAAGATGAGAAGAAAGTCCTCGAAGACCAGTTGAAATTTTACACTCCTACTGACCAAGAAGAAAGATTAATTGCCTTAGGTTCTAGTGCATACTTGTCAAAAGGCTGTAACTGCCAAAAAGAAATTGATGCACTCACTAAGGAAAAGGATGACCTGAAACAGAAATGTATTCACCTCAATAAGGAGATCGAAAAGCAAAGGAATACATTTTCCTTTGCTGAAAAGAACTTTGAAGTTAATTATCAAGAGTTACAGGAGGAGTACGCTTGCCTTCTCAGGGCAAGAGACGATTTAGAAGACATCCAAACTAGGCAGGCTTTGGAGTACGAAAACAAGCTTAAAGCGCTGACCGAAGAGCTCCATTTGCAGAGAGGAAGCCCGGTGATGCACACAGAGAAGCCTTCTGAGTTTATCGAAGCCAAAGCTTTTATAGTGGAACCGTTGGAAGTCAGGGAGTTAGTTGAAAAAGATATTACAGACGGTAATGAAAATGGGAGAGAAGAGTTGATATTGCCAACAAGAACTATTGAACCGGCTGATGGTATAGTTGAACCATGTGAAAAACTCCAGCAAGAACTTTGCGCCCTCCAGGCCAAGCAGGTATGTGTGTGTGCTCATGGAAAATCATAGTGAACACACACATTTCACACAACAATAGTTCCTGCTTTCATGAAACAGTAATCCATATCCTTACTGGAAAGTGAAGGTCATCCCTTTCATGTTAGTCTCATTTTTGCAAATCAGTTGTCATTTTTACCTAAATATTGTTATCTTTCTTTCAATTAATTTCTCATTTTTGCTGCTCAGAAACTAAACTAAGCTAATCATATCTACATGTTTTTTTTCTTTGTAAAGAGAAGAGTTAAGAGACTTGGTTTAATTTTTACATTATAATCATTTTGGCTTAGTATCAACGATTAATTTTTACAGTTTCTTATACTGATGTTTTCTAGTATGAAATTTCAAGTTTTCAATTAGAATTCCACTACTGTTTAAAAGGAAAAAAAAACCCTTAAGTTTTCTACTGCTTTATAAGTTATTCAGTGGTTATGCGATTATATTTCTGGGAAGTGGAGCTTAAGGCCTGGAGTTTTCTGAGTCTCATACCTGAATGAGAAAAACATAGTATTAACTCTCAGTATAATGCAAGAATTTTAACAATGCCTAAGATGCCTTAGTTTCTTTCTGTTGCTTCATTAGAGCTGACCAGAAGCAGCTGAATTGTGGAGAGTACTCTTTGGCCACCGTTCATCATGAAGGAAGTGGGGGCAGACACTCAGTCAGGATTAAAGTGTACAACCACTGAAGGGTGTCGCTTGACTCCTTACTCACTGGCTCATGCTTATCCAGCTTTCCTCTGTAGCTCAGGACTACCTGCCCACATAATGGTGCTAGTCACAGGGGACTCCTACACCAGTTGACAGGCAAGATGATCACCCACAGATATGCCCACAGGCCAGTCTGATCTGAGCAATACTTCAGTTGAGACCGTCTCATCTCTTCTCTGTTGACTCTAGACTGTTGTCCAGTTGACAAGTGATGCTAAGACAGTGACCAATGATGAATCATTCCTGGTAACTTATGTTTATTAAATGCTGATAATAGGAAAAACAGGAAAGTTCTGGTAGGGTATCCACAGTATAAAAATGCTAACTGAAGTTTTATGTGTTTCTGTATTAGTGGAGTAGAAATTTACTGAATCTATTCCAGATATGCATATAGCGGTGAACAAGAGATAGAGTCTAGGTCTCAGGAAGCTTGTGTTCTAGAGGGGGATGTAAGTAATTAGTAATAGTGTTGTCTGTGAAGAAAGAGCATGTTAGGCAGGGAAAGGACAGTGATCAGGAAAGGTGTCTTGGAGGCGTTAGCCTTTGAACTGAGCTCAGTGTGACTAGGAGGGCTCTGCAATGGAGAAGCTGTAGCAATTGTAAAGATGTAGGTGAGCTTGAGGGCTAGGACATAGGCTTGTGCAGTTGGCTTTGGAAAGAGGTGAAAGGGAAAAGCAGACTTTGAAAAGGAAGTAAGAATGTGTAAAGCTAGGATTTCATCCTAATGAAGCCATGGGGAAGTTTTGTCTTTTATTTCTGATGACTGCCAATCACATTTATGATCTTATATCAAAGATGGAAATAATTTACCTTTACAATAACCTGAATAGAAGCAAGAAATCCAATTACTAATTTAAACATGTGGAATTGTTTGGAAAATATAATGAGTGGTAATTACCCCAAAGGTGTTAAATACCATTTTAATCTTTTAAATAGGAGAGGACCTGATTTCCAACTTTAGATGTACTGATCTTGATACTATCTCTCATTAAATTTAAAATAAACATGGCCTTTGTAGGCTTTCTTTTAAACTGGAAAAAACAAACCAAAACCAAAACCAAACCAAACAAACAAACAAAAAACCACACACACACACACACACACACACACACGCACGCACGCACGCACGCACGCACGCACGCACGCACGCACACACGCTTGAAGTATAATTTCTGGGTTTTGTTTTGCTTTTTTAATGCACTTAGCTTGTTTGCCTAGAAGGAGAATGAAAAACATCATAGAAAGTCTCACTACTGTTGGCTTGTGAGACAGCCAGAGGAGTGGCAGGAATTGCACATTTCTTACGCGGAGAGACCACGAAGTGAAGTGTGTTTGAATTGGAAGAGATTCTGAAGAGTAGTAACCACAGGAGGAACTGCTAGTCTGCAGGTCCTTGAGGGCCTATGTGCTGTACCTGCAGTACTTAACATAAATCTGATACAAGATAGCAACTTTCTAAAGAGGAAAATAAAGCCCATTTTTCAAGTGTCAATAGGGAAACAAAAGGGAACTTAAGAAGAAGATGAGGTTGACTTTGTCATTTGCTGTATAGCATTTTCTACAAGTCCCAACCATTGTAAAGACAAAGATGTATGACATCATTGGTGAGAAAGACAGCTGACTGTCATAAGGAAATGAGTTCAGATCCTTAAAGTCAAATAATGTGGAACAAAAAACCTTAATGTAGGAATGTCTAATAGCTTGGATGTGGTGGCAAATGGCATAATCTCAGCACTCAGGTGCAGAAGGGAGGGGATGGTGAATTCAAGGCTGGACTGAACCACCTCTTCCTAACACAGAAACAAGAAATAGCTCTGCTGATCATGAATGAAGTAGGACGAGACCTGAATAAATGTAAATTCTCATTTCTGAATGGGAAGTATTTAATAAGAAGCATTAGTTTGCCTTATGTATTTCCAATCCAGTTCATGGTGAAAATTTGTTGAAGTTTAATTGTTTATAGTTGATCTGTAAGGACAGATGTAGAAGAGGCAAGAATATTTTTAAGCAAACTACATGTTATATGACATATAGAAGACAATTCTAGACTTAAGTGCACCAATGTTTTATTCACATGTGTGCCCCAGTGAGTATATGTGGTGAGTGACTAACCTCAGAAGCCAGAGGAAGGCATCAGAATTCCCCTGAAAATGGAATTACTGTTGGTTGTGAGGCAGCCAAGGTGGGAACTGGGAACTGAACTTGGGTTTCCTGGAAGACAGCTCATGCTCTAAACCACTGAGCTATCTCCCTAGACCCTAAACATGCCACTGTGGTAAATACTATAATAAGTTAACCAATCAAAAAGATAAAATAGATCCAATTGTCTACATTTAAAGGAAGTGGGTAGAAAAAACTAGCAAATTTAGAGCAGAAATAAATGAATTCAAATAACCAAAGGGGAAAGTTTTTTTTTTTAAGATTTATTTATTTATTATGAATACAACATCCTGCCTCTATGTATGTTTGCACACCAGGAGAGGGCAACAGATCTCATTACGGATGGTTGTGAGCCACCATGCGGTTGCTGGGAATTGAACTCAGGACCTCTAGAAGAGTAGTCAGTACTCTTAACCTCTGAGCCATCTCTCCAGCCCCCCAAAGGGGAAAGTTTTAAAGAAGTTTGAAGGTTTATCATTTGAAAAGATCAATAGGTTGCAATTATTAGATCTCCAAGTATATCATCAAAGAAGAAACCACAAACAAAATGAAGAATGGAAATAAAAACCCAAGTACAGATTCCACAAGCATTCTAAAAATAAGAAATGAGTACTGTAAATAAACTCTACTGATGAAATAGAAATTACCCAGACTAACTCAAATAGAAATACAAAGCCTTAGTAAACCACTTAACCATTACAGAATCTGGAGCTGTAATCCTTTTCACCTCTCCAGCTAAAACTGCTGCACCATGACCATTGTACAAGTGGATGTCACCAACTTTCATGGCAAATATAGCTACTTACTAAAATAGGATTCAAACACGAAGGTGAAAAGCAAGAAAGGAAAGAAAGAGCCCATGTGAACTAGTTAGTACTGAGATACAGATGAGGCAAGAATGGCTCCAGAAGAGAAAATTATAGGCCAACCTTACTTATGAATGGGGCTGAATTCCTTGAAAAATATTGTTCGGTTATCCCAAGAGTGTAGGAATGGTTCATAGCAGAAGACAATCTGAACATTTTGAATTCCATTAGGAAAGAATCTCTAGAAGCTCATTTACAGTTTCAATTACAAAAAAAAAGAGGGGTGGGGGAGAGAGCCATAGGAAATCAGGAATAGAGAGAACATTTGCTAAGGGAAACTGTGGTTTCTAAGGTGATGTTTATAAGTATTCCCAGTAAAGGCAAGTTGTCAGCTTTGCTTTCCAGCAGTGTTTTATAGTTCTTAGCCAGTATTTATAATATGAATAAGAAATGAGAAAGACTGTGAAAAAGTGAGACAGAACATTAAATCATAGAGTAGATGTTTGAAACTTACACAAGACATTAAAGACCTGGTATACATTGCCATGGTCTGGTCTTCACATTCTTTAATGTAAAGGGATAGCCCGAAGGTGAGAATTTTTTGTTTTTGTTTTTGAAGTTTTGTACAAAGTACAGGGGGTGCTGTTCTGGTGAGGTAATATTTGAAAAGATACTTGAACCAACAAGCCATGACAGCAGGGGAAGCTCAGAAAATTCAATAATTGTTCTAAGTCAGTTGATTTTTGTTTTACAGGTGAGAAGTTGGGGGAAATTAGATCTTTACCTATTAGGAAAAATTAACTCTAGGTTAGTTAAAGGCATACATGTCAGAAAGAAGGATTACAACCTTAAGACCAAAGAAACCTTTAAGTAAAAGAACAGACTGAAAGGAAAGCATTAAGAAGTTTGATCCTGTATCTTTTGTGAACAGTACCTAAAACAGGGTATATTATCAGGGCCGAACATTGTCCACGTTGCGAACAAAGCACTATAAAGATGGCATAAATACATGAGGGAATACAAAGAACTTAATGAGCCAAAGATGAACAGATACGTGTCTCAAATAAGAAACAAAAATGACAACATAGAAGGTACTTTAGCCTTACAAATTCCCATGAGTAAAACATCATTTTATCCCCATCATTGGCAAAGTAACTCTGACTTACTGATATTGATTCAAGGGTGTGGGCATTCACATTTTTATTATAATTAAAATTAGTTATATTCATGAAAGAAATCAATTAGCAAGATCTATTAAGGTTAAACCTGTGTGTATCTATGAGCAGCAGTTACATTCCTGGGTAGATGAGGGTGGTCACTGGACAGAATCAGGACTTGGAAACAAGCCAGAACTAGTATTTCTTAGACTTCTGAATCAGAGGTCAGAGGACAGATACCATGAACTGTGTCAACAGACATTCCACATAAGTCTGAGAGATGCTGGGCAGCTCCCTGTCAAAACATTACTTCTTTGTCTTAGGTGCATATATATCATAATTTGCTGCCTTTTGATTGAAAGTACCCCAAGTTTACCAATAGCCGCCCAGTTGATCTCCAGAAAGGAACATGGCCCACTTGTGGTTCATTTATAATACACAGCAATTAAAATAAAGTAACCTGCCATCTATATGGGTTGATTTCAGAACGAATTTGCAAAGTAAGTGCCATTTGTATAAATACACAGAAATAGACAATATAATGTGTTTTTTACATGTATACTGGGAAATGATAGTAGACACATTCCAAATTTATGGTCACAGTTACTTGTGGGCAAAGAATAATCAAACATCTTGAATTAATTTTATCTCTAATGCAACTAAAGAGATGTAGAGGAAGTAGAATAAAACATCATATTAGGATTTATTAGGGTTTTGAGTATGTTGTTTTTTATTACATTATTTTCATTTTTAGCATGTAAAATGTTATTTAGAAAATAAAAATCTTGGGACTACTTTTCTTGAGAAACAGGTAGGTCAGCCCATGTTGATAAAGAGTAAAGCAGGTTTCCTTCATGTGAATTGTAAAACTCTGAAGTGAGGAAATAGAGGTTAGAGTGTTGTTTTTACTTTTCCTAATGTCTATCTGTTCACTCCAAGGCCGATTTAAAGCTGCAGATGGAAGCCCAACGGATATGCCTTTCCCTAGTTTATTCAACTCACGCAGATCAGGTTCGTGAATATATGGAAAAGGAAAGAGATGCAGCTCTTTGCAGCCTTAAAGATGAGCTTGTTTCTGTTCAAGAAAGAAAACTGGGCGAGCTTCATAAAATGCACCAGTGCCAGCTTCAGGCTCTTCAGAGACAGAAGACAGGTAAACAGCTTCTGACTATCTCCATGAAACAAGTGAGCAGTCCTTAAAAATCCTTAATTCTATGGTTCTGTGCTTGGGCATTGCTGGTGCACACCTTTAATCCCAGCATGGGGGGGGCAGAGGCAGGTGGATCTCTGTGAGTTCAAGGCCAGTCTGGTCTACAAAGCAAGTTCTAAGACAGGCTCCAAAGCTACACAGAGAAACGCTGACTCAGGGAGGGAAGAAAAAAGGAAGTTTAGGGATCCATTTTGAAGAGTGAAAGTTTCGGTTGTGTAAGAATGTAGTGGGAGATAAGGAGAAGAGTGTCTGATTAGAAAATTTATACCTTGAAGGAAGCTTAAGCTTCCTGCTGCTGATCAGATAGCCCTGCTGTGGGATTTTTAAATGGAGGAAGCAACAGTGATATTTTTCTTTACGATGATCCCCGGTGTGATTAACTGGGAAAACAATGAAATAATTTTGGGGAGGATCAGTTAAACAACCTTAGCCATAATGCCAATAGAATGTTGAGCTTGCTTTCCTTGAGACTGGGAAGGAAATGACAGTGGAGTTGAACACTTAGAGCTAAATGGTATCGTTGGCAGTCTATAGCATCAGTAAGGGTGGGAAGGGTTGAGAGTGTTCTTGAAGTTTCTTACCTATGTAACCGGATAAATGTGGTTTCAGTTAGAAAAGGGGGAGCAGACTGGAGACAGATATAGAATCAGTTTAGAACTCACTAAGCTAAGTTTGCGTGTTGACTTGGAACAGAAATAGTTGCTAGTGAGCTGAAAGGGGAAGTCTGAACCCAGGGCAGACTTCTAAGCTGAAAGTAAGAAACAAATGAATCCCCATGGAAGTGGAAGACCAGAGGCCCTAAGGCCAATGACAGAGTGGCATCCTGGTGGCAGCATGGGCAGGAACCTTGATGGGTCTGTGGGAAGGACATTGAAGGAGCCATAGTGGAAGCGGGAACCTATTGCTGCGCAGCTGCAGCTGAGGATTTGGTAATGTTGTCACTCTGGCTTCCTGTCACTTGGCCTCCTTTGGCTCCCATATTTATCATTAGAAATGAGGTGCTTTTTAAGTCTCCAGTAGAATTGCTCTGTTGAAAAAAGTAAGATTTCAAGAGTCACTTAGAGAAGGATGCAAGATTTTCATTTCAAGACTTCTTTGGTTTAATAATTTGGTAAGATTTTACCTGTATTTGCATGTATCATTTATGTTGATATGGTCTTCATACAGCCTGTCCAGTGTCTTCTGTTGACAGGTGATTATTCTATTAGTAGGTAATAGAGCAGTTTACTGAGTAATGATCACTGTTTCTGAATAGAGGAGAAGAGAATGGAATGCATTTTTAAAAGTTTTAATTAATTTAGTAATTGATTGATTGATTGATTTTTTTTGTGGCACTAGGGCTGAAACCCAGGGTTTGCACATACTAGTCAAGGTACCCTACCACAGAACTATGTCCCTGTGCAAAACCCATTTGTGGAAGTTTTGTTTGAGGTTTGCATTGATGTATTTCATGGATAGGTATATGGATGTATTTCTTGTGTTGGAGTGTAGGTCACTGCTTTACACCCTTTGAGACAGTTACATTACACAATGGAAAATAAATTTGGAAGAAATTAAAATGTGTCTTGTTTTAGGGAAGCTGGCAGTTGGATCAGTTAAATCTGACAGTTTTACTTACACATGTACATTGATTGGCTTACATGTGCTGTATCTTCTGCTAGGTGAAGACAAAGAGCCTTTACAGGTGCTCATTGGACGACTTCAAAAGGCATTGTCTGCGGAGTGCTGCTCTGTTTCAAAGGTAAAACGTTACCTTAAAAGTGGTTTTGGACAATGCCGGGCGGTGGTGGCGCACGCCTTTAATCCCAGCACTCGGGAGGCAGAGGCAGACGGATCTCTGTGAGTTCGAGGCTGGGCTGGACCGATAGCCTCCAAAACAATACAGAGAAACCCTGTCTCGAAAAAACCAAAAAAAAAAAAAAAGTGGTTTTGGACAAGAGGAGCAAAGTTTACATTGCTACTGATTCACTGAGCAGAGCCATCCACCCTTGTCAATTTTCCTGAATCCCTTATGTACAGAACTGTACTTAAAAAGCATTCCTGAGTTCTAAGCTAAATGAACACTTGGCTTTTTTTTCTGATAGCCATTGGGAACAAAAGGAATCCGTGCTAGGGATGTGACTTGGTGTATCAGCGCTTGCCTGTTATGTTTAAGGTCTTGGATTCCATCTCTGTCAGCACAGAAAAAGGACAAAGAAACTCTGATCAGTTGCGTCTCCAGAAGAGCAGATGGCATAGGCATTGCTTTTGTCAGAGAGGGGATAGTTAAACTTTCTGGAACACAGTTTGTTCATTGAGGGTGCCGGGGGATAAAATGGTACCTTTGTGGCTGTGCTAAGAAGTTACTATGTGCAATCACTTAACTGACAGTGTGGTTTAACTTAAAAAAAATGCAAGAGATAGTAGCAATAAACAATTGGCTTTTAAATCTTTCAAATCATGATGTTTATTTCCAGTTGTGTGAAGAGACAAAGGTAAAACTAACTTAGATGTCTTTTCAAGTCACGGAACATAAAATGGTATTTTAAATGATAGTGGGAATATTAGTTGCTCTACAGAACACTGTGCTGGATATTTTTTAACTTTGTGTTTGTACAAGCCACAGAAAACATGCTTGTATATTATAGACAGGACATTAGTATAATCTCCCTTAATAGATTATCATTTTGCAGAGAGGTGTGGCAGGCCTCTCTATTTGTCAGTTTTGAACTTCTCTGCTTGTGATGTGTACTTCTGGATACTTGATATAGTCATGAGATATTTTCAAGGTAGAGTGTGTAAACACCAACACTTTATGATATATTCAATATTAGCAAGAAACAGAAAAAATACATCATTTTGTGTAATTAACATTGTCAGTCTTTTCCTGATAAAAGAATAATTTCATGTCAAAGAGAAACATGGTTTTTCTGTAGATGGATTTCATATGTGGAAGAAGAGGGAATTAAGGTTCCATTCATACTCTTTTGACCTTTTGACTTTAGATTAATGATGTTTTAATAGTATTTTAGAATTCAAAATTTTAATTTAAAATAATTCAATTTTGTTAACAGACTCTAAATTCTTTTCTTGATGAACACCGTTATCCTTTAAAATGTGAAATGAATATAGAAGAGAAAGAGAATTCTGGTGTATACAATGAAATTCCAAGGTTGAAATTACAAGAATACAGATACCAAGTTGAAGGTAAAAAGCTTACCATCCTGTTAACACTGTATTTACTTTTCTTAACTCAATTGCTTATAAACTTAGCTTTAATCAAAACTTAATTACATAAGTTTTCTATCTTAGTATCTTATCTTTAGGCATGAAATTTATATGTAGTGTACACTTTTAGTCCTTATAGTGTAACAATCATACTATGTAGATGATTGAAACATTCTACCTTTCCTTGTTTCTTTCTCCTCTATTTCTGTATTTCCACCTATTTCTTCATTCTGCTTCTTTCTGTTAACGGTTCTCACTGTAGTTTCTTTTAAAGTCTTAAAGGAAGTACTGAGTTTACTGTTAAAATTAATGGTTCATAATTTTAAAAGTGAATAACAAAATCATTGAGGAGTGAGCTACATTAAGAAATACCCTTTGCCAGGTGTGGCGGCGCATGCTCAGGGGCGAGGCAGGTGGATCTCTGTGAGTCCTTGGCCTTCGAGTCTGCATAGCAATTCCAGGGTACCCATGGCTAAACAAAGAAAGACATAACTTTCTTCATTCGTGGTTTTAGGTTATTTTTGTTCTTAACAAATTGCAGCTTGAATTACTTGGTGTTCCTTCACAGATGTGTGTTCCCAGTATATTATTTTGTATACGTAATGAGCAACCTGCCAATAAGTAGCTACAGAATGTATCTTGGGATGAAGTTTTCAAGTTAATGTTATACCACTTATTTCACAGTATGACTTTTATAAATTTTTTTTATAGATAATTAACCTTTGTCAATGCCAGAAGGTTTTCTAAAGTTGTAATTAGGTAAATCATAATTTTTACAAAGGTAAACTTGTACTGTGGAGTGAAATTATTATAATTGTTTTTCATCCAGATTTTCAACATAATATGGAAAATTTTCTGAGTAAAGTCACAGATGAACACAGCAAGCTTGTGACACTACAGATGCAGTTAAGCAAGGTCTGTGGGGTAGAAAATATGGTGTTTGTCTTTATCTTATTATACGCTGTTCTGTCAGACAAGAAGTTCTAAAATAAAGGCTAGTAGAAATACAGTAACCATTTATATGTTTCTCTTAGAGCATTTATATCAGTCAGCTGAAAAAATTTAGAGAAATTGAGTAATCTGTAACTCTCTGAGATGGTTTGTTAAGTCATGATGAAGTATACATAATAGTCTAATATTAAGCAAATGAAACAATTGTATTTAACTGAGTAGACTACTTGGTCTTTTTATTTACTGGTGTTTGAACAAACGGACTCTGTAGGACAGCAGTCTATCACTGAACTATACCCTCAGCCTGTTACATGTAATATTTCTTAAGGCAATGGTTCTGTCTTTATATTTTAAAGAAGGTAACTAGTTCATTTGCACATAACTCATAGTATCATCTGTGTCAATTTTCTTCTGCTATTGATATTTCATAATGTGTTCTTAAAAATCAGGTAAGATAATATGTACAACATAATATAACTTAATAGCCATATCACATAAATAAAGCACATATTGTCGAATAGTTATAGAAAAATATGACAAAAGACGCCTTCATTTATTTGATATAGTTTTTGGCATTCAGTTCTATTAAAAGGTTTAGGTAAATGTTCAAGATTTTTAGTTGTATATAGGGCTAGGTCCCATCACAACAAAAGCACACAGGCAAAGGCATCCTTGAAAGGACTGGAAAAGATGCATGGCCAGAGTCCCAAAGGAAGCAGGTGCACATGTCCTCAGTATGAGTATAATAACAAGTTCAAATTGTGTACCAACAGTGCACACTTGCCTCTAGGAGTCCAAACTTTTCTATCAAGGGCAGATAAGCAGCCTCCACGAGTGTCCACATGGACTAGACCTTAGTGCTTTTCTATGCAGCAATGTTGCCCATGCTAGCACATGGAGAGGTCTGTATTGGCATAGAGAGCTCTTTGCTATGTTTCTCAATTACTGCCAAGAGAAAAATCTCATAAACAGACCGTTGTAAAGACAGACATCTAGCATTCTCTCTACACTCTCCTCTGCACATTGAGTAACGAGTGAGCTTTTCACTGCCAGTTATCTGGGCCTTGTGTGAGGCTTTTGCTCTTTTACTCTTCTGGCTTTTGCACGGCCACCATCACAGACTCAGACGTATTCTTAGTGATGAAGGCCTGGCCTTACATTGGCTGTTTTTAGCCCTTCTACATTTTCCTCTGGGCTTTTATCCTTCTTTCTTCTGCTTGTCTTACTTTCCTTCTTACCCTGCTGCTTCTGGCTTGGTGGCAGGGTGGATGGGCTGCTGAGCCCTGATGTCCTTCTCTCCTGGACCTCCTGCTGCTCCACCTCCTCAGTTCTCCTTCTGTTTACACTCTACCTGCCACACCCTCTTATCCTTGCTCCTACTTTGCTATTCCATTCAGCTCTTTATTAGGACCACAAGGGGTTTTAGACAGACACAGTAACGCAGCTTCACAGGGTTAAATAAATGCAGCACAAACAAAAGTAACACACTTTATATGCTACCACAGCTGTGACGCAGACCATGCCAGGTCCTTTAGTATCAAGTCAGGACTGCACTACACCAGCTCAGGCAGAGGAACTGAAACTCTCAATCCTGGGCTTTGTTGAATGATTTTCCTTTTTCTAGTGGTACCCATCCTCCTCTGGTCTTTCTTTCTTGTTCCTGTTTCTTGTTACTGTTGGTTTAAATGTCACTTTCTTGTGCCATCATTTCTTGCCTTCCTAGCCTTAGACATTTTTTCCCTCTGTTCTCTGAGCTTCTTTTAGTGCAGATGCCTGGATAGCCTTCTTTCATTCATGTTTCAAAGTTCTCTAAGCATATGTTTGTATCTCTTTACTTTTCATTGTATTATAATTATTTATTTCTCTACCTCTTCCACAAGACTCCAGACTTTCTTTTTTTTTTGTATATATACAACATTTTCTTTAAATTAGAGTCAGTCTTGTTTTACATGTCAATCCCAGTTCCCCCTCTATCCCCTCCTCCACTGTCCCCCACAGATCCCCACTCTCACCCCTTTCTGCTCCCCAGGGAGGGTGATGCCTTCACTATGGTATCTTCAAAGTCTAAGACTCCAAACTTTCAAGTAAGATTATTCTGTGCTTATTCCTTCCTGTTAGTGTAGCACTTAGATTGCACATGGTAAAGACTCAATAGGTATTTATGAATGAATTGAGCAAAGATATAGACTATAAGTTACATTGTATGGTGGTTTTATTATTTCTCCTGAGAAGAAAGAGGTGAGATTCCCCTGTTTATGTGTCCTCAGGGCACTGGAGAACTGCTCAGTAAAGTGCTTGCTGTGCAAGAAGTGGACCTGAGTTTAATCCTTCCAAACTCATAGCAAAAATGGCATGTCCCATAATCCCAATTTGAGGGAGGTAGAGACAGGAGGATCCCTGGGGCTTGCTGGCCAACCAGGCTAGCCTAATAGAGAAGTTCCAGATGTGTTGAGAAATTGAAAGAGAAAACATTTGCTGTTGACCTCTGACTTCCATGCCCATGCACCCCATATAAATTGTATATGCAGAAACATGCGTGTTCACACACATACACAAGCAAGGAAATAAAAAAATTCAGGAGGTAGGCGTGTGGTAGAGGACACCGAATAGAGTAGTGACCAATGAAAATAGCCTCTTAGAACTCTTTCTTTCCTGCTACTGACTGGTTTTCATAGCATCCTATATTGGTCTTGTCCGGCAAGTCAAGTACTTTACTTAACTAGCCTTATTTTCCCTTTTCATCCAATATAAGCCCCTGTCAACAGGTCATTGATTTTACTTCTTAGAGCATAGATCATCTCACAGAGCCTTTCCAGAAAGTCATAGCTGTAAACTATTAATGCCCAGGTGAAATCTGGCTTCTTCCCCAGTTGCTCAGATGCACTTAAGTCTCTCCTCAGAGTCACTGTCATTGTATTCAGACTTCACAGGTGTTGCTTCTCCAATAGTCTTATTTCCTCAGCTAGTTAATGTGCTCTCTGAGGACATAGATGCACACATTCTCTCTCTCTCTCTCTCTCTCTCTCTCTCTCTCTCTCTCTCTCTCTCTCTCTCTCTCTCTCTGTGTGTGTGTGTGTGGTTGTGGGTGTGGGGTGTGTGTGTGTGTACCTTTAAGCTGATTTTGTGATCTTCCTTTCCTTGGTCTTAATGTTGAACATGCAGATTCTTAAATTTTGGGACAGTGTGTTTTTGTAATGAGCAGTATACTACTTGTCAGTTATTTACTTAAATCCATCATCCAGAGGTAAATAAAAATTATGTTGTCAAGTATTGATAATAAAAATCTGTTGCTTACACCAAAGTTTCAAAGGACTTTCAGTTTAAATTTCTGTGAAACATTTGTTTCTGGAAAGTGAATGTTTCTCTGGATATAAAAGAGCATTGCTAGTATAATTTCATTCCCATGAGTATGACAGTGAGTCACTTGTCAAAAGGAAACTAAGTGTTTGATTGATTCAGAGCAGTACAAGTGTAGGGAATTAAAAAACAACTTAATGCAAACTTCTTCAATTGTTTTAATATAGAATTCAAAGTCCCAGATTGTACATTTATGTCATCATTCTTCTGTTTTCAATAGATTCACGAACAGCAAACAGATGGTGTGAAACTTGAGTTTGCAGAGGAAAATGTGGCAGGAGAGGAATCAGGGATTTTGTCAGCACACTCTCAGGCTGGTTTACAGAACACTGGTAAATTTCAAGTTTATAACATGTTACAGTACTTTTATATCCAATGTTTACAAATGTGCTTTCCTTAAAACTCTGTGGTAATTTGATGACCTCTCATAGTCATCTTCTTGTTCAGTTTTCTCATCTTTAACTTGAAAGTCCAGACTCCTCATCTCCTTTGTCCTTATCATTTCTCACACACTATGTTTCTAAACTGTTTGAAACTTAATGATGTAAACTTGTTAGAGTTAGTGATTCTACAAACAGGAGGATAGAAAAAGTGTTCTTGAATCACGCTGGTTTTTTTTTATGAGAAGAAAAAGTTATTACTAAAGGCATGTTTTTAAAGAATCACTAGTATTTTTTATATATACAAGTAATTCTGCTTTATCACCAAGAAACTTGGATCATAGTGTGCCTTTGGTTCTGTTCCTATGACACAGACATCCGTTATGAGAGTGAGCTGTCTTCTCTGCCAGAGGGTGAAGACAGTAAAGAACATGAAAAGCAGCTTCAGGGGTTAGAGAGCCCTGTGGACACCTTAGAGCAGCAGCTGAAAGCAACTGAAGCTCAATATGGAACAGAGATCCCGACGGTTCAGGGAAGCATTGAGACCATCCATGGGCCGTCAGCACATCCAAGGTATCCATCTGTGTGCTGTCTGTCATGCATCAGTATATACAGAGAGGTTATTTTAAGACTGGAATATAAGTTCATCAGAGACATAAGAATGAATAAACAGGAGATCATTCTGTGACTTTTAGATATGTGAAATAAATGTGACATTTATCATAGGAATTTTGTCTATATTTTCATAAAGATGTTGTTCTGCGGGATTAAATAAGACAATGAGTGCACATTTGTTGTGTATTCTTCGCTGAGTCTTCACTACTTGATATGGCCCATACCTTAGCAGTGTGAGATAGACCATTCCACTGCATTTCTTTCACTTTTTTATGGAATGCTGATATTCAGCAATGTCTAAAGCAAACCTGCATCTTTTCAAAGTGTGCCTTTCTTAGCTCTCTCCATCTGCCTTGACTCCTCTTTTCCTTATACCTGACTTCTCCTCTATGAAAAATTCCTGTTCTCTCTGCTTTCACAGGTCATGGGAACCACACCATTCCTCACCACCCACTAGTCCCTGCTGTTTCGTGAGGACTAATTACTCTTAATTCTTCCTTAGAGTCTCTTCTCTATACAGTCAACTGACGGCCAGCTCTATACTCCTCAAAACTTCAGACAGACCACCTAACTCTAGTGCTATTCTGTCCTGCACAATAGGTCCCTGTAACCCCCTTGATTATTCTCACTTATGATCATTTTCATGAGGGTTTTTTTTGGTCACCCTAAATGAATTAGTATTGACTCTGATGAAGAAACATAAACCTGTAGGAGGAAGGGGGAATCTTGGGTTATTAGGTAGTTGCTTTATTCTAAGGATTTGTAAGTCCTTGCACATAGTAGGACCTTAGTCTATCCTTGATGAATGTTTTATAATTCACTTTGAAACGATGCATGAACCTGTATCTAGTGTTATGAAAATGGCAGGTTTATTCTGACTTTGACTACTCTGCTGTTATAGGACTTATGTATTCGTAGGCACTTGTCAGTGTAACCCTAGCATGATTTTCTATAGTGGTGGAAGACACTGAATCATTAAAAGCAGTCTTATTATTTTTTCATTCAAGAGCTATATGTAGGCTTTGAAGATGCTTCCTCATTTTGGCAATACTGTAATTCCCCAGGTTCTTTGAGTCCAGAACTCCTCAGATATTCCCGTACATCAAAAACATGGGAGATTCTTCAGTTTAATTTATACTTTTAAAATTTGTATCATTAGAAGTTATTTGATTATATCTTTGGAGTCACTCTCAAAGTGAAAGCTCACAATTTTATGTATTTAACAAGATAGGTAATGCACCCAACCCATAGATGGACATTTAGAAATCACTGCTGTAGTCTTTAAGCAAGAATTCTATGTGAGCCAGTCAGTGTATTTTGAACAGTCTTTATTAATTAGTGAGTAATCTTTAGTTGGTGATAACTTTCTCCAATGTGTGAAGAAAAGGTGGCAGTGTTGGGGTGGTGACCTGAGAACGTCAAAAAGCTGTTTGTTTTTTTTCTGCTTTTGGCCTTGTACCAGCTTACTGGCCTCTCTTACATTTGTAATTAAGAGCTTACTATCCTCCGCAATCAAACTTGGTAGAGTTTGAGAAAAACAAAATCTTCATTTAACAAATATTTAGTGACATCACACCAGAGCCTTTTTAGACAGATATTTGATATTGAGAAGTCCGTGAATTTTAGAGCCATTTGACCTCTGCAATAACTTTTGGCTGTGTCTGTGATCATGAATCGATTACAGCACTATTAAAATCAACAGAGACAATAATAGCCCCCTCCAGCCTTGGGTACTAAGCATTTTAGAAAAACATAAATTAATAAATTCTTGAAGAACAGTACAAAGTAGAGACACATGCTGAACACTACCCGAAGAAATGATTAAAAACACTAAAGACAAAACGTCACTGTGTACCTGGGAACCTTGCCTTCCTGTCCCCTGTACCGCATTCCCACTGCTGTTGATCATTCTTACTGTGTGTGTGTGTTAATATGCGATAGGGGAAGACCTGTATATATGTTGTCCTATTGGTTGATAAATAAAGCAGGTTTGGCCAATAAGGAAGCAAGATAGTTGGGACTAGGAGTTGAGGAGGATTCTGGGAAATTTACTCAAGAGTCGAGAGTCACCATGTGATCCCAGGAATAGAAGATGTGTCACGATGCTGTCCTCAGATAAGTCCTTATAGAAATGTATATTAGTAGTCATGGGTTAATACGTAAGACAGAACTAGCCAATGGGAAGCCCTAGACATTGGCTGACAGCATTGTAACCATAATTAGAGTCTTTGTGTCTTATTTTGGGGGCTAAAGCAATGACAGGACCCTGGTAGAAATCCCATAACAAATATGTTTTAATAAAATTGAGACTTTGGAGTCTTGTTTACTAGATAATGCATCTTTATTGACTTTATAAAACTAATGCCTGTATGCATAAATTCATATACTTTATAAAATGGTATAAAGTGTATCTGTTGATCTGCGAAAATACTCTTTTCATTACATTATTTCTAATTAGAAAAGCCAGAGGAAAAAAAATGTGACTTTTGTTACATTATCTGTAATCCTTAGTGTATCATTTTTTGTTTCTCCCCTTTCCACTATATGTATGTATGCTATAAACTTTGTAAAATGACTCAGAACCCTTAATAACATCAACCACTATCTTTTGTTTATATTTAGTGTTGAATTAGCGGTATTAAAAGACGGTGATTTACAGAAAACACTCTACTCTGGAAATTGTCTACAGGAGCACACTGTCAGCATCACAGAGGTATTAAATTTCTTCTCTTTATTTTTAAACATTTGCATACCCTGACTTTTCTTAGTATCATTTTTATGAATGTGTTTTGTTAACTACTTACTAAGGAGAAAAGATTTAGTACATTTTAAAAGATTAACACATTTAAATAAAGACTTGCATTTTTCTCTTAGCACAAGAAAAAGTAAACATGAGGACTTTCTTTTTCTTATTTCAATATGTTACCATTTAAAATTTTGTCCTGGTTTGTTTCATTTTGATTAAAGTATAGTTAACTATCTCCCATGTTCCTTTTCCGTTCTCAGGTCTCCCCCATATGCCCCTCTTAATTCTCAGATTCATGTCTCTTTTTCTTTATTATTATAACACACACACACACACACACACACGACTGACTTATGCTTGGGAAATCAGGTTCAGTACCCTGATCTTCCTACTGTGGGGAAACAGAACAGGCCATCTTTTGACCAGTGGTCAGGAATCCCCAAGATCCCAGGTACTGGTGCTAATGGATAGGTCCTCATGTAGCAGAGGTCATATCTTCATAAAACTCTTGGAACAGTGCATGCCCCACAGGGAAACATCCCAGAGCTCCCCTCTTCAAATCTCCAGCACAGAGCTGTGATCTCCATCTGCATTCAGAGAAGATCAGGATCGTTGCTCTCTCCAGTCTGTGCATCAAGGAGAGATGATAGATATACTCTGTACGCTCCTGCTCTCATGTGCATTTGTTTGGATGAAATTCCTGTAAGTGGGTGTGGATTGTTGTTCTGTGGGTGAGATGGAGGCAGCCTCTAGGGCCAGCAGGAATGTGGCTTGCAAGAAAGACAGATGGCAGGCCAAGAGGAAAACCTGAGGTGGTACTGGGAAGAGGAGACCTTCCTTCCCCCTGCCAGTGTCTTCAAGTTTCATCTCTGAAGAGGACCAGGGCCCTAGCCAACACCTAGAGGTCAAGGAGCACTGACAGTTCCAAAGAAGCTAGAGCAAACCTGTGTGGGACCCCACCCCTGTGGATGTGGTCTAGATGCTCTGTCATAGTGAGAGATCTAAACACCCCATGATTGAAGTCTAAAACTCAAAGCAAATGTGAGGTGCCTGAGGCTCAGACAGAAAAGCTCCGTGTTGATCTCTGCTGCCAGTTGCTGAGGAGCTCTGGACTCGGGGAGGAGAAGATGGGGAAGACAGAAAGATGCTGAAGACATTCATCGTGGGAGCTGCGGACACTGCACTTGCTCACAAGCACCTTGGGTCAGTGTCCTTACTGAGTACTTTCAGAACTGAGAGACACTTGGCTGTAGAGGAATTTCTGGATTATGTGGCTCTCCTGGACTGAGTGACAAAGTAGCTCATATGCAAGATCAGCATCATGGAAACACTGCTCACTGTGGCCAGCCCAGAACCACTGACTTTATGCCCGTGGCAGACAGCAGGGCATCGTGCCCCCTGTCACCATGCAGCTCCACTTACGTTCCTCCTCTTCTCCTGGCTCCAGCTTCGCGGGCCTGGTTTGTGATCTGTGTGAGTGAGTCAGTAGGGAAGATGAAGGCAGCTCTAAATGCTAGGGCCGGACAGCTCAGTCATGTCTCAGAACTCTACAGTGCTGGCGTCTGCCTTGAACACATTAATGACAGTGCACGGAGGGAAAATGAGTAATTTCAGCTCATAGGTAGGCCTGCCTCACCCATCTGCTCTCAAGCCCTGTGCGTGGACCAGAGCTCTGTCTCCTCTGAGATGTGCTGGCAACGCGTCAGAACAAGGGGCTTCAGTAGCATGCTGGCCCCGGGCTTCTGAGCCCAGCTTTGATAGCCTGGAGAGTCAGCTGGACAAAGGCTGGAGGCTGCGCTAGCACTGGGAGGTGAGGGCTGTAGGAGAATATACCTACCAAGCTCACTGTCTGAACCTCCAAGCCCTGGCAGATAGGATCCATTGGAGCCGCAGCAGAAGTAGCAGACGGAAAAGCTGCTGCTGATCCTAAGGCTGTCCTCCAGCCCAAACCGCAGCAGGAGGGATGAGACTGCACAGCAAGCCTGGTGAAGACGAAGACGGTGTCCTGGACCAGAAGCACAGCAACCAATCAGACAGAGCCTTCAGCAGCAGCAGCAGCAGCAATAGAAGCAGGAGAAAGCACAGCCCACTGACCGTGAATGTGTGCACTGGGTAGGCCAGTATCCTGAGCCAGAGGCCGCAACACCGGAAGTGACACAGAAGGACTAGGAGATGGCGCAGCAGCCTAAGGCACGTGCTGAAGACCCTAGTTTGACCCCTGAAAACGTAGTAGAAGGACAAAACATGCTTTCACAGGTTGAATCTTTGACTTTTATATGCACACAGGGACACACGTGTGCACACGCATACTCACAAAACGAATACATGTACAACAGCACATTAAAAACAAAACGATCCATTAAAAAAGAAATTCACATCATTACTAAATACTTTGATAATTCGTTTACATTTCAGCAAATGCTTATGTTTGATATGCTGAAGGAATTTATCTATATTTGTGGGAAATTGGATCATAAAATTATCAAGAAGAAAAGAAAATCACCAAGAAATGCAATCCTAGCTTGACATTTATCTTAAAGGAAATATAATCTTATTTCAAGTACCTTTAACCTGTCTTATAATTGTTACTATTAAGTGTAAATATCTTTCTTTTCACAATAGAGAGTAAACTTAGTAGAATTTTTAGAATTGATGTGTTTAATTGAAAATATCTGAAATTTGCTTTTTTAAAAAAAGTATCCAAAGTTGTTATTTTAGAAACATTTTGAGATTAAGAGATTAAAAGTTGGTGGCAGTTCAGTTGGTTTAAACAAATTATGTCACTTTTTGCTTTTTCATTAAGTTTCCGGATGGATTTGAAAGAAGTCAAGAATCAAATATGGTTCAATTAACGGAAAAACAGTATCAAGAGCGATTAGAAGAAGAAGTTGCTAAGGTAGGTGTGTAGTTGATCTGGAAACTGGTCTCTGTTCCCTTTAAGCTTTCAATAGGCAGATTTTAGGTATGCTATACATTTTGTGTCATTAGTTTCCTATATAGTTTACCTGTAAGTTTGTAAGTTATCAGGTAATATTATCAAGTATAGATATTTTAGATTTTGCTATGCACTCTCTCTCTCTCTCTGTGTGTCTCTCTGTCTCTCTGTCTCTCTGTCTGTCTCTCTCTCTCTCCCTCTCCCTCTCCCTCTCTCTCCCCCCACATCTGTTTTCTGTCTCTTTTTTTGAGACAAGTTCTTGCTGTTTAGTCCAGTCCAGGTTCAAACTCATCCTTCTCCTGCCTCTGCTTCCCAAACTATTACAGGTGTGCACACCCACACCCGGCACAGTAGCTGGTTTCCAGTGGACTACTTTGTGGATATTCCTGGTCTTAACCTGCCTGTTGAAGAAGTTTGGCCATCTTTAAAAATTGTTAAAGTCAGGAAAGTAACTCAAAGCAGTTACTGTGGTGTTAGATGGTAACTTGAGCTACTGAGAGAGGATTGCCACTGAGCTTGGCCCCGGGCTGAGTGAAGGAGTTTTAGCAATGTGGTGTTTGCTTGTCTTTGAATCTTCAGTTGCTGTGCTCAGAGCCCATCTTTTAGACTGAGTATTAACTACCCTAGGCTACAATCTTGTCCTGTTTATTTTGTCTTAGTATTTCCTTTCAGAATTCATATATTCATTTGCATTTAATATTTGAACCATTGAATTATGAGCATTTTGCTCCTTTTAAAAATAACTGTTCCAAATAACAATCTGAGTGGAGACTATGTATTTTTGCAAGGAAGATGATTGATAAAATGTGAAGAAAATACATGAAATGTTAGTGTTAGATGAAGACATAGGGAAATATCTAAGCTGTGAAGTCTCATTAATTCTGTGAGGAGAATGAATAGTTCTTGGAGATCTCATGAAAAGTGAGTCCTGGTTTGTGTGTCAGTCATTGTGTGATTCTTAGAGAAATGCAAGTCTTCTCTTGTTCTTAATGCCTACAGAGACTCTCAAATAGACTGTTATATCAGGGGGTCTCAAAGTTAACATGAGATTTGCTATTGGACATGCTATACTTATGTTACTTAACTTACTAATGTCAGTTTATTCAATATAGAAAGAAGATAATAGCAATTCTCTTGAGGATCAAATGAGCCACTGCATATAAAACACCCGTAGCCCAGTTGATGCAGAAAGTTTTCAGTTGTAATCAGTAGGAAAGAGAAGATGCAGTGAACTTATTGGATGCTGTCAAGAGGGAATCTCAAGTCTTTGTGTAGTGTTTCTTTTTCTACAGTGTAATGCCATAATCACTTCATTACATCAGCATTTATATTTATCTTCATTGTCAGACTGTTTAGACTTAGAGTCACCTAGGAGGTTGATGAGGCAAACCTTTGGGTGTGTGAGGATGTTTCCAGAGAGTAGGAACTGCCGAGACTCTGGATGTAGTCTTGTAGGCTTTAAGCGTAGACAGAATAAGAGGTGAAGAATAAGAGGTGTCTCTGTTTCCATACCCGCTGTGAGGGAAACAACTCTCCTTATGTCGTTGGTCACTGTGATGACCCACCCACCTAGAGTCAAGCAGTAATGAACTGAACTCTCTGGAACTCAGGGTTGAAAGAACTCATTCGTCTTCAGTTTGTGTCTGTCACATACAATACTCACAGCATGGGAAAAGCTGTTGAATACCACTATGTAACTTTTTTCTGAAGTTTCCTTTTTAATTTGCTGTGTATGTTTAATATGGTGGGAGTGAACCATGTTGGGCAAGTACTGAGCTCCATGCCCAAGCGCTGTAAATTGCTTTTAGTTCCCTAACCTTTACTTGGATTTTACACTTTCATTTTAGGATCATTTTTCTACTTCTTGAAAGATGTCCTTTTGAAGTTACTTTTCTGATAACCTATTGGGAATAAGCTTAAACTTTAGAATTTTATTTTCCTTTTGCCCAGGAAAGATGTCACATAGCAATTAAAGTTGACAGTTGCTTTTATGTGAAAACTTTCAAATTATCATTCTGATCTTTTGTGACCTTCTTGGTTCTGCTAAAAAGGTCCTTGCTAAGTGTTTTGAGGGCATATAATGGTATAATGTCTTTGAAACATTGCACAACTTGAGTCTTTGTCTCGTTGATATCTTTTGCAAATGTTCCTCCCCCTCCCTCTTTTTTTAAATATTTATTTATTTATCATGCATACACTGTTCTGTTTGGCAGCCAGAAGAGGGTACTGGATCTCATTACAGATGGTTGTGAGCCACCATGTGGTTGCTGGGAATTGAACTCAGGTCCTCTGGAAGAGCAGACAGTGCTCTTAACCTCTGAGTCATCTCTCCAGCTAGTTCCTACCCTTTTAATGAAATATTTCCATCATTCTCTATTAAACTGTACTGGAACTGTAACAACAGTGAGATATATATTCAACATTTCCATATCTCATTGTTTGTTTGTTTTTGCTTTGTGGTTCTTTTTTTTTGATGTTTGTTTGGTAGGTCCTCGTGTACTAAATGAGAACTCAGATTCTTTATATGTGTCCCCTTCCTGAGTGCTGAAATTACAGGCACGTGACATCATGCTCAGTTCTTTTCTTTTCTTTTTTTTTTTTTTTTTTTTTTTGGTTTTTATGAGACAGGGTTTCTCTGTATTGTTTTGGAGGCTATCAGTCCAGCCCGACCTCGAACTCACAGAGATCCGCCTGCCTCTGCCTCCCGTGTGCTGGGATTAAAGGCGTGCGCCACCACCGCCCGGCTCATGCTCAGTTCTTTATGTGATGTTATGAATTGAACCCAGGGCTCCATGCCCATTAGGTAAGCACTACCCAGCCCATTTCATTGCTACTTTTTAAATCTGTCTTTCAATTAGTAATTACTAATTAATTTTTTTTTTTTTTTTGACACAAGGTTTCTCTAGCTGGCCTGGAACTCACAGAATCTGCCTGCCTCTGCCTCCTTAGTGCTGGGATTAAAGGTGTGTTCCACCATCACCTGGCCTCTTTGCCTCTTTTTTTCATTTATGAATTATTTTTCTTTTCTCTTTCCCTGCATTCAATTCAGGGAACTACAACAAAAACCACTTTGAAGGTCTTGACTATCAGTTAGAAAATGTTAACTATATGTTTTGCTAAGTTGTATTATTATTAATTTATTATGCTTTTAAATCCCTATGGGATCACAATTTCTCCTCTTTCTCCCCTCAAGCCTCCACTGTTCTTTCTCCTTCCTTTCTCTTCAGATAAGGACAGGTGGTGTGTCGTGTTCCCCCTTCCCCCCTCGCGCGTGCCATTGTATATCAAGTTGCAGCGAGACTAGGCACTTCTTTCTTATTCAGGCTGGAAGAGTCAACCTAGTATGAGGAATGGGGTCCCAAAAGCAGGTTACAGATTCAGGAGTAGCCCCTGCTTCCACTATTTGGAGTCCCACAAGAAGACCAAACTACATAACTGTAACAATATGCAGAGAGCCTAGGTGAAGGCGAGGATGTAATTATATCACTAGACTCAAGATAAATGATAAATGGTTGTTTATTAGGGAACACTTATACAGGCAGATACAAAGAACTGCTGAAGTGTTTCCCAACTCTCCCTGCCAGATCTGCTGAGCCACCAGAAACAATGCTCAAAAAGAAAGCCATGCCTCTAGCTCCCCTCTTTCCATTTCTGTCCACCTGAAGCCACACCCAAAGGGGTGTGGCCACCACTGTTACAGGTGCATGGACCAGAGGCCTGCAATTCCCCTTTTAGGCTAAAGAAGAAGGTTTTAAGCCTGATGCAAATTCTATATACAGTGATAACAAATGTCAAGTATACTCCAGGAAAAGGAAATGTAAACATACGTTAATTAAAACCTACTATCAGCAAGAGCAACACTGAGCAAGAGATATGTACTACATGTCCAATACACGTGTCTAGTATCAGGGTAAAGGCATGATAGAGATTATTCTGATAGCAGTCCTAATATGGAAAGTCTAAATCTTGTCTATCTAAAACAATGGAGGATATTGTTGTGACTGTCAAGTCTTCAACCTCATTAAAGACCTGACCTGAGAAGGAAGATAACAACACTAGGGTAAGCAGGAAGTGCAAGCCTGAGACTCCAAAGGTGCCATGAAGATGAAACAGCAGGCTACCTGGACACTCACCCAAGGTCTCACAGAAACGTCGGCACAATCAACTTTGGTTAAGGCCTAAAGTATCAGATGAGCCATCCCAAAAGCAGGGAAACGGAAAAAATGTCTTACACTGACTTGGCAGGGTTCAGCAGTCTTTAAGGTTATCTCCTGCAAGCTCAGTTAGGATAACATGTTCAAGGTCAGCAGTCGAGGTGGGAGCAGAATATTGCCCGTCAGTAGCCAAGAAGAGAATGAACTCCATATGGAGTGTCATCAGTGCCCAACATACTCTTGGGATAGCTCAGTGTTGTCAGAAGCAATTGTGTCTCAAGTCAGTGGAGTACTGAATTATTTTTTTGATTACATTTTTGTTTTGTTTTTTATTTTTCGAAACAGGGGTTCTCTGTATTGTGTTGGAGGCTGTCCTGGAACTTGCTCTATAGACCAGGCTGGCCCTGAACTCACAAAGATCCACCTGCCTCTGCCTCCCTAGTGCTGGGATTAAAGGCGTACTACCAATGCCTGGCTCATTACATTTTTTTAAAAATTTAAATTAGAAACAAGCTTACTTCAGTTGTCAATCCCAGCTCCCTCTCCTTCACTTCCTCCCCTGCCCCTACCAACCCTCAACCAAATCCCCACTCAACTCCCCAGGGAGGGTGAGGCCCTCCATGGAGAATCTCCAAAGTCTGTCATTTCATCCCTGGCAGGGCCTAGGCACTCCCCAATGTGTCCAGGCTGAGAAATTCCTCCATGTGGAATGGACTCCCAAAGTACATTTGGATGCTAGGGATAAATACTGATCTAGTACCCAAGGCCCCATAGATTGCCGAGGCCTCCTCACTGATGCTTGTACTCGGGGTCTGGATCAGTCCCATGATGGCCTCTTGGCCATCAGTCTGGGGTTCATGAGCTCCCCCTTGTTCAGGTCAGCTGTTCCTGTGAGTTTCACCAGCCGGGTCTTGACCCCTTTGCTCATCACTCCTCCATCTCTGCAACTGGATTCCAGAGTTCAGCTCAGTGTTTGGCTGTGGGTGTCTGCTTCTGCTTCCATCCGCTAGTGGATGAAGGCTCTAGGATGGCATATAAGGTAGTCATCGATTCACTTTATAGAGAAGGGCATTTAAGGTGGCCTCTCCATTATTGCTTAGTTTGCCAGTTGGTGTCATCCTTGTAGATCTCTGGTAATCTCACTAGTGCCAGATCTCTCCTCAAACTTATATTGACTCCCTCTATTATAGTATCTCTCATCATTCTCTCCTCTATTCTTTCCCCGACTCAACCATCCTGCTCCTTCATGTCCTCCTTTCTCCTCCTCTTCTTCCCATCTCTTTCCCGTAGCTCCCTCTCCCCTCCCCCCATGCTCCCAATCTGCTCAGGAGATCCTGTCCCATTCCCCATCTCTCTTAGGGTGCATATCTCTCTTAGGGTGCTCCCTGTCATATCAGAACTCTCTGGTCATGGGATTGTAGACTGGCACTCCCCTGCTCCGTGTCTAAAATCCATATATGAGTAGGTATGTACCATGTTTGTCTTTTTGTCACTGGGTTACCTCATTCAGAATGGTTTCTTCTAGTGCCGTCCATTTGGCTGCAAATTTCAAGATTCCATTGTTTTTTTTTTTTCTGCTGTGTAGTACTACATTGTGTAAGTGTACCACATTTTCTCTATCCACTCTTCAGTTGAGGGGCATGTAGGTTCCTTCCAGGTTCTGGCTATTACAAATAATGCTGCTACGAACATAGTGGAACAGATGTTCTTGTAAGAATGCATATCTTTTGGGTATATGCCTAACAGTAGACTTGCTGGATCTTGTGGTAGACTGATTCTCATTTTCCTGAGGAATCTCCATACTGATTTCCAAAGTGGCTGTATGAGTTGTCACTCCCACCAGTAGTGGAGGAGTGTTCCCCTTTCTCCACATCCTCTCCAGCATAAACTGTCATTGGTGTTTTTGATTTTAGCCATTTTGACAGGAGTAAGACGGTATCTCACAGTTGTTTTGATTTGCATTTTCCTGATGACTAAGGATGTTGAGCATTTTCTTAAGTGTCTCTCAGTCATTTTAGATTCCTCTATTGAGAATTCTCTATTTAATTTTGACTCCACTTTTTAATTGGATCATTTGGTGCTTTGGAGACTTGCTTCTTGAGCTCTTTGTAAGTTTTGGAGATCAGCCCTCTGTCAGATGTGGGGTTAGTGAATATCTTTTTCCATTCTGTGGACTGCCTTGTTATCTTGTTGATTGAGTCCTTTGCCTTACAGAAGTTTCTCAGTTTCAGGAGGTCCCATTTATTAATTTTCAATCTCAGTGTCTGTGCTACTGATGTTATATGTTCAGGAAGCGATCCCCTGTACCAATTCATTCAAGGGTACTTCCTACTTTCTCTTCTAAGAGGTTCACTGTGACTGGATATATGTTGAGGTATTTGATCCATTTGGACTTAAGTTTTTGTGCATGGCGATAGATATGGATCTATCTGCATTCTTCTACATGCCAGCATCCAGTTATGCCAGCATGATTTGTTAAAGATACTTTCTTTTTTTTCCATTGTATGATTTTAACTTCTTTGCCAAAAAGCAAGTGTTCGTAGGTGTGTGGGTTTTCAATTGGATTCCATTGGTCTATCTGTTTATTTTTGTGCCAATACCAAGCTGTTTTCATTACTATAGCTCTATAATAGAGCTTGAAGTCAGGGATGGTGATCCCTCCGGATGTTCCTTTATTTTACAGCGTTGTTTTTGGCTTCCCTAGGTATTTTGTTTTTCCATATAAAGTTGATTATTATTTCTTCAAGGTTTGTGAAGAATTGTGCTGGGATTTTGATGGGGATTTCAGTGAGTCTGTAGATTGCTTTTGGTAAGATTGCCATTTTTACTATATTGATCCTACCTACCCAAGAACATGGGAGATCCTTCCATTTTCTGGTATCTTCTATAGTTTTTGTCTTTAAGGACTCAAAGTTCTTGCTATATAGGTCTTTCACTTGTTTGGTCACCCCAAGATATTTTGTTTGTGGCAATTGTAAAGGGTGATGTTTCTCTGATTTCTTTTTCAGCCCATTATCATCTGTATATAGTAGGGCTATTGATTTTTTTTTTTCGAGTTAATCTTGTATCCTGCCACTTTGCTGAAGGTGTTTATCAGCTGTAGGAGTTCCTCTGTAGAGTTTTTCAGGTCACTTATGTAAACTATCATGTCATCTGGAAATAGTGAGAATTTGACTTCTTCCTTTCCAATTTGTATCCACTTGATCTCCTTTTATTGTCTTATTGCTCTAACTAGAACTTCAAGTACAATATTGAAGAGATAAGGAGAAAGTGGACAGCCTTGTCTTATTTCCAATTTTAGAGAAATCTCCTTGAATTTTCCTCCATTTAGTTTGTTGTTGGCTGCTGGTTTACTGTATATTGCTTTTATTATGTTCAAGTATGTTCCTGTTATCCTTGATTTCTCTAGGACCTTTATCATGAAGGGTGTTGGATTTTGTCAAAGGCTTTTTCAGTGTCTATTGAGGTGATCATGTGGATTTTCTTTTGCAATTTATTTATATGGTGGATTACATTGATAGATTTTTATGTGCTGAACTATCCCCTGCGTCCCTAGACTGAAGCCTATTGATCAACCTGGATAATTTTTCTGATGTGATCTTGGATTTGATTTGTCAGTATTTTTTTTTTTCCGTTTTACAAGACAGGGTTTCTCTGTATTGTTTTGGAGGCTATCGGTCTAGCCTGGCCTCGAACTCACAGAGATCTGCCTACCTCTGCCTCCTGAGTGCTGGGATTAAAGGTGTGCGCAACCAACACCCAGCCGATTTGTCAGTATTTTATTATTTTTGCATCAATGTTCATGAGGGATCTTGGTCTGTACTTCTGTTTCTTAGTTGTGTCTTTGTGTGGCTTCCATACCAAGGTAATTGTAGCCTCATAAAAAGAGTTTGGCAAAGACTCTTCTGCCTCTATTTTGTGGAAAAGTTTGAGGTATACTGGTATTAGGTGTTCTTTGAATTTCTGATAGAATTCTGCATTGAAGCCTTCTGGGCCTGAGCATTTTTTCTTGGGATACCTTTGATGACTGCTTCTATTTCGTCAGGGATTATAAGTCTGTTTAAATTTCTTATCTGTTCTTGATTTAATATCTATCTGTGGGTCTGTATATGTTCCCATCTGCTGCAGGTGGAATCTTTTCTGATGATGACTGAGAAAGGCAGTGATATATGAGTATAGCAAAATGTCTACCAGTCATTTTGTAGCTGTAGTTTTTGTTGTTGTTGTTGCTGTTTTAGAACAGTAGTATTTGGTCTTTACCCTGGGTCCCTGGCCTTTCTAGTCTCATGCTCTTGGTTACCCAAGCATTGTTGGGTATGGTTTGAGGCCACACTTCTTAGAATGTGTACTCTTAAGTAATACTTTCCTCTCTCAATTCCAGCTGCTGTTTAAGAATTGTGTCGATCTTTTTGATTGTTTCTTTTATTCATTTAGGTCATCGTGTCAATGAGTATAGCATTTGCTCAACAAACGGAGCTGTCTAGAATATCTGAAGAGAAAGAGAACTCTATACAGTCAGAACAAGCACATTCTCTATGTTCGCAAGAACGCGCTTTTGATGACATCATATCACAAGGTCAAGCATATCCACAGACTCTTTCCAGAACTGACAAGACTTTTAAAAAACAATTTACACCACTTAGCAGTGAATTAGAAGAACATAGAAAAGTTTCTTTGTCTAACCATGATGATCTTAATGACGATGTATTAAAGTCAAAGGACCATGTGCTGAGTATTTCACAAGAAATATTTTCCAAAGATGAAACACTTACAGTTAAACCGTGTGTAAGTATGACTTATAGAATGTTTTTTTAAAAAAAAAAGTTCATAAAAGCAAAAATGGTTTCTTCACTATTAATACATTATTAGTAGTGTTGCTTAAGGAAGAAAAAAGTATCGAGTTCTGTCTGAGTAGCACTCACATTGTTGTAGTTTATTAGTGATAAAGCATATAGTAAAATGACATTAATCCTATTAAACTTTGTACATAACAGTGAGGTGGCTCAGTCCCCAAGTCTCATACACTAAATTCACATGATAAATGGAGAGAACTGACTTCCCCAAGTTATCCTCTGATATGTGTACACATACATATCCACACCCACACCCACAGAGAAAAAGGGAGGGATGGAGGGAGGGAGAGGTACTAAAAGCAGTGTATTGACTTTTTTTTTTTGAGACAGGGTTTCTCTGTATTGTTTTGGAGGCTGTCCTATACCTCACTCTGTCGACCAGGCTGACCTTGAACTCCCAGAGATCCACCTGCCTCTGCCCTCCAAGTTCTGGGATTAAAGGAATGCACCACCAATGCCCAGCGCGTATTGACTTTTTAAACAATACAATCCCATTAAGTTACAACTGTTTTAACTTTTTTCAGTTAAAAATTATCCTGTAATGTGGCAATATCTATGACTGAAAGATTTGCTCAGCTACATATAAGAACATATAAGGAAATAGTCACCTATTTAAGAATAATTTAAATCATTTAAACCCTGATTTTCTTTTTCCTTACATACTCACAAATAGATGTTTCCTCAACAATTTCCTATCTTTAATGGACAGAAATAAGTCCTACTTCTCCTAAAATCATTTGAATTCAAATGTATTATTACAATGTCCAAGATAGTTTATATCTTGCTCAGAAGGAGATTCAAATATAGTTGCCTTCTCTTTAGTTACTGTCTCTTCAAGGATGCTCGAAACATCCATTAGTAAGTTGATGTATTCTGAGTCAGAGGAACTGATACATGATAGTCTCTTATGAAGGAGTTCTCTGGAATGCTATGTAACCGCTCTATAATAATAGACTTAATAAATAAAATTTCCTGTTTCATAAGTACAGTTTTAATATTAAAAAAATTTTTCCCCACACAAAATGTCAAGAAGAGTAATGGAGTAGTGGCTTCATTAAAAGTAGAGGGAATATTGAATATCTTTATTATTTTTCCTTGAGAATTATAGTTTAGCTAAACTGACTGATAGATACTTTCCTCCTGTAAAATAATACATTGTGGTAATTAACTTAATACTGTTTTAGAGTTGTGATGGAAAGAAATCCCTTTTGTAATTTAGGCTTTATTTAATAATAAGATAGAAATTCAGGTGCCCTGTGGGTCTAGTAGAATGGTTTTCATGTTTGTTGAAAGTATCAGTAGTGGTAAATTGTGTCATGATTCATGTGTGTGGAACTTCTTGTTTCTACTGATGAAGATCCAGGATGAGGTATCATACACAGAGACTTGTAAACAGTTGGAAGATATGCGGCAAGAACTTGTACGCCAATATGAAGAACACCAGCAGGCAACAGAACTGTTGAGGCTGGCACACATGCGACAGATGGAGAGGCAGCGAGAAGACCAAGAGCAGCTAGAAGAGGAGATTAAGAGTCTCAAGGAGCAGTTAGCCCAGGTTGGCACTGAGGATCCTTTTGTTCCCAACCGAAATAACATTCTTTATGTAATCTCTTTTAAAACTTCAAAGCTATTTTGCCAGCTCTGAAGGTAATTAGGAATGTGTAACATTAGAATCACCCCATCAGCCAGCCAACAGTGTTAGAGTTCAGGGCAAGTCTGACTCAGGTTTGTAGTGTTCATCGTCATGCCTTCGCACATAGCAAAGGAAGTGCAACGCCTGCCCTGCCAGCTTGGGCGGTCTGCACTGAGGAGCTTGCTCGTGCAGCTCTCCCCCATAGTCAGGTTACCTCTGTGAGCCCGCCAGTTAGCAGCCACAGGTGCACCTCTGTCTATAATCACCTTGCTAATCAATGGGAATCTAGGGTAGCACGTTTCTGGAACTTTGTCTAGGGAAGCATTTCTGGTTGATTTGAAAAATGAAACATTCTTAACCCTTTCTTGACTACATTAAAAAATTCTTTGGTATTTGGGAGCTATATTCTTACTGGTTGCTATATAAAATATACTTGCAAAATCATTGCAGAAAAGCTCATATGAAAACACTAAATTTAATTTTGAAAACTAAAAGAAAAAATTGAGAATCGCTGACATGGATTCCTTCGGATATAAAATAATGAGAAATTTGGTCTTGGAGCATAAAATACAGATCATTTGAAAAAAATCAGTTTTGCTTTTCTTCATTGTATTTTGTGAATTCAGACTTCTGAATTTCTCAATGCAAATTTGAAATATAAGTATTAACTGAAGTGTGCAAATCTCTGAATTTTATAATTTTAATCATCTCTTTTCTAAAGTTTCAAATTTTGCATTGAATTTTGTATATGCCTTTTAACCTCTTATAATGGAATCTGAATCTTAACCCAAGGGGTTAAAAGAATTCTGCTAATTGTTTCTGTGCTCTCCTCCTATCACCAACAATATTTGCTCACAGCCATTTCTCTTATTTAGAGATCTTCAATAAACACTGAAAACGAGGTTTCTGAGAGAGAGAGGGTGCTTTTAGAGGAGCTGGAAGCACTAAAGCAGCTGGCTTTAGCTGGAAGAGAGGAGCTGTGTTGTGAGCTGCGCAACAGCAGTACTCAAACACAGGTAGTGTGGACTTTGGCTCATCTAGGAGCAATGGATCAACAATGCAGTAGGATTTGTTTGTCTTTCTTGTTGGTGTGAGATGACATTTTTTTATGGTCATTGAGCTTAATGTGTTTGATTGCAGCCGTAGAAAGGAGGTCACCTTGCATTGTACTGGTAATTTGATTCTGGTATTGCAATAACAGCAACTGTTGCTCCACCCTGGATCAGCCTAACAAATTTTACTGTCACAATATACAGCATGCATTCCTTTGAACCATTCCATTTTTTTCATCTGTGCATTAGAATGTTTTATCTTTTCTTGATAATGCTAATCTCTCCATAACACAGAGTTAAACATTATTTCAAGCAGTGTCTACATCACACACAGAAGTTTCTGTTTTGTTTTGTACCAGTATAGAAGTATGACTTGCTGTTTCTAAGATGACAGGTTTTCTCTTTGTTTTGTCGTCTCTGCCTTTACACCAACTCACACAGGATGGAAATGATACTCAGGAAGTTGAGGAACGCACAATAAATGAAGAGACACTGGAGAGAAAACCTGAAGATTCAACTCTTGATGCCAGCTTGTTCAATGAAAGGTATAGAGTGTCTACTTGATCAGTACAGGGTTAGATACTCCTTTCTCTTCAGTAAACATGGTCCTACTTTCATCTTGTGCCTTTGTGTTTTGTCTTAAAAGTTGTATTATGTATGAAATTTGTCCGTATTTGAAGGGTTGATATTTTTATTGTTATAGTCTAATTTTTAAAAATCTTTTGCATACACTACAATTTTTATTAGATATTGAACTTGATTCTATTTTAGTGTTATTTGAATATTGGACTTTTCTTGATTAACTTTATTTTTCATAATGCTATTTTGAATACTAACAATAACAATAGTTGTGAGTTTTATATCTTGTCTCTTTCATTCACTTAAAGGACATTTATTTAGTATTAGGTATTTCCTTGAGAAAACAACACAATAAATATTTCACATTTAGATTATTTTTGCACATGCTGTATTACACATAAGAGCTTTTAAACCAAATTCAAGTTTTATAGAGGAGTAAATCACCAAATGGTATGGATTAATATAAAAATGCATACTCTATGAGACTAGATAGCCCATATTAGGTTAAAGGCCTTTTTAAAAGTCACAATGATTTAAATTTTATTTTATTCAAATGGAAATAATTTCTTTAAAGTTAGAGCTGGTATCGTCTCACAGTCTCTGTGACTGCCGCTCTTTTTTGTCTTCCTTCCTTCTTCCCTCAGCTTGCATGGAGGTTAGGTCATCCAAGTGGAACTCAAAAACAAAGACCCCATGTGAAATTAGAATTACTATGGCAATGTAAAAATGTATTCTCTTGTTTATTTTATATTGCTTTTCACTATTTTATACATCATATAATACTTGGATTTTAGTGATTTTTATGTAACTTCATAAAATGAGTATTAATCCTTATTTGTTTTAAACTATTATACTAGTTTAATCCATTGTAAGTATAGCTTAATATTGAATTTGACACTTAAATAAAACTTAAGAAAAAGTTTTAAGAAAATTATTTTAAGAAATAATTTATTTAAATTTATTTTAAGAAAATAAGATCTTTTACTTCCTGTTATTTGGTCTTATTATTTTTAATACTTTATTTTGTAAGTAGATAACTTGGCCTGTCTTTCGCTTGACACCTCCTAAAGAAAACAACTCTGTTTATTACCTTGCCCTAAAATGGGTAGTTGTGTGCCTGGGCAACAGGCACCATTAGCCTGCTTGTTGGTAATCTGCAGTGTGAAGTGTGAGATAAAACTTTCTTAAGCAGAGCACCTTCACTTCAGAAGTCTGTCGCTTGTCCATGTGTATTAAGTCTGAAGTTTGCTATTCTTACTACTTCTGGAGAAGTAAGCTATAGAGGTTAATCATATAATCTTTTCCATCACCATTTAAGAAGATACATTTTTTGGAAACAGTTTTAAAGGGTCCATATTACTCTAAAAAAGAAACTTCATGAAAACACTTAATCCAGGACAATCCTTATTTTTTGTTATAAAAAATATGTCTAGTTATGAGTAAGATAGAGGGAAAGAGGAAATCTAGGCAGTACATTTTTAATGATTGGAACATACAGATGGCTCTGTGGTTAACAGAACTTAATGCTGTTGCAAAAGACCTGGATTCAGTTCCCAGAATCCACACTTAGAAGCTCACAGCAGCCTGTAACTCTAGTTCCAAGGTATCCACTGCCATCTTCTGGCTTCAGAGGGCTCATTCATACATGTTATACACACAAACTCACACAGGCACATACATATGTACAAAAATAAAGATAAATACGTAATTATTATTTTAATTCTAATGATTATGTCTGAATGCAGAGACGTTTCAGAGAAGAGTTAACCAGTAGCATCTTAAAAAAAGAAAAAACTTAAAAAGACTGATCTTATCTTTTTAAAAAGAAAGATAATTTATTTCTGTTAAGTCTAAATTTTTCTTCCTCCAGTTGTCTGAAATACCTAGTGATGTGTGAAACTAGGTATAGTTTTATGTCTAAAAACAAATACAGTTGCTTTAGTGTTATCACCCTGAAATTTCACTGTTGACATTTAAAATCAGGACTGTGCTTGTGCCTATTAGATCTGTTTAAATTTAGGCATCTCATTCGTCATCATCAAGTTGTAAAAATAGTGCCACATTTTTATAGTGGGCTTTTAAAATTATACTTTAAAACATGTTGTCTGTCACATGAAAGGATGACATACCTAATGTCCGTATGAGTACCCATGAAAAGTATTACCAACTCAATACCTTACACACACTAGGCTCTTATCGCACTCTAATAGTTTTTAAAAATGTAGTCATTAATATAAAATCTTGGTTACTTGATTTTTTGGGGGTCAATAAAATTCACACTTAACTAAAAACTGTTGTAATCTATATATAACTCATGAAGAACACAAGTACTTCTATAATACAGTTTTAAAATAAGTTAAAAACCTGAAGAACTTCACTGTGGTGCAGTTACAGATTATTTTACTGTATTTTCCAGTTATAAAGCATTCTTTTTTTCCTTTTCTTATTCTATTTTGTTGTTGCTTTTTGTTTTGTTTTTTAAGACAGGGTTTGTCTGTGCAGCCTGGATGTCCTGGAACCGGTTCTGTAGACCAGGCTGGCCTTGAACTCAGAGATCTGCCTGCCTCTGCCCTGAGTGCTGGAACTAAAGGTGTGCACCACCACCACCCAGCTCTATAAAGCATTCTTGTGGCATAATAGCAACATGTTTTGTTTAGTTTTTAATTAAGCATTTTATCAAATGATTCTTTCTCTGTACAGACATGCTCTCCTAAAAGCCAATAATAGACTGCTGAAGATTCTGTTAGAAGTTGCCAAGACAACTGCAGCTGCTGAAGAAACAATCGGATGCCACGTTCTTGGCATGTTGGATCGATCTAGTAAAGTTCAGCCAGCTACCAGTCTGCTTTGGAGATCAGAAGCAGATGTATCTGCAAAGCCTTCTGTTCAAGAAGGAAGTGGAAGAGGTAATGGTTCCTATACTGTTGAAATAGTCGACATCTTCAACATAGGATCAGCTCAAGGCACTCCCAATGTATAGAAAAATAGATAAGGGAAAATATTCTAAGTTTTTGCAGCTAATGGACTGTCTCACACAGAGACCTTAAAACTGCTCTTCTCAAACACCCTTACTATAAAGCATTTGTAAATGGGTGCCTTGGGGCTGTCACCATCTACACCTTGGGTTCCTCCTATGCCTGTCTTCTTTCTACAGGTAAGGATAGTGGTGATCTCTGCTCAGGGCTCTCACATCCACCTGTAAATTACAGAAAGGTTAAAATGAAGAGATTGCTAGGAATCGAGCACTACTTGAGAGGATTCAAACAAGTCTTTATAAAACCTGACTTCACCTTGTTTTGGACTGTCCTCTGCTAGGTCCTCTCTGCCTTCTGGAAAGTCTGTATTTGGGGACTAAGCTTTGACTTTCTTCACCACCTTCTTAGTTCTCTGGCTGTGTAGGCCGGGCTCTTCCTTTGGCTTCTTGCCATCACCTTGCTGACCTCTTGTCTCTCATATTTTTTCAGTTCCTTACTCCTTGCTGAAGAAGAACCAGGAAATCAAAAGACAAGAAAGCTTGTCAGGTGTAGAGAGATAGGGTCTGAAAACTTGGATTCAGAGATCAAATCTGGTTACTCCCAGCCCTCACCTGAGCCCTCTCTCCAGCCAGAGGCAGCTCTTCCAGAGGCTGCCTTTGTAATTCTGGAGAGCATTTGGCTGGCTGTGCTGCCTGTGGAGAAATGGCAAGAAAACATCCAATTATACATGGTTTGCTTAATTTCAGGTGGGTTTTCAGTGCATTTCTCAGCTCAAAGGAAAACTTGATTTAAAACTTTAAATAAAATTAACTTAGGAACATGTCAGTTGAGTTCAAAGATAACTTTTTAAATGCTTTTAGTAGAGTAAGAACTGAAAATAACAATTTTTCAACTTTCTTTTTAAGTTCACTCTTTTCATAGTTGGTAGATTTACTTTTGAGATTAACATTTTTTTCCCTGCGTAATCTTCAGAGCAAAGGGTATTTTTTAATGTGTATGGATCCTTATGTGTAAAGAAAAAGGTAACATTTAAAGATGTAAAAGTCTGTTAAGTAAGTCCTTAAAGAAGCATAATACAGTGAAATGCTTTTATTTAGCCAAAGTCATTGGGCTCACCTGCCAAGCATTTTTTTGGAAGTTATAAAAGGAATAAATAGGCAATTTAACTTCAGCACAGAAGATGTCTTGATGTCTATTTACTTGGAGAATGTAGACCTCGAAGGACATCTGACCATGAGGCTTCTTAGAAGTTACATCTAAGTTTTCTATAGTAGAGCTCATAAAAAACAAAAAACACAAAACCTGGTAGTCATTTCTCAACGGTAAGTACCCCAGCTGAATCCTGTAGACATGTCTTGAGCTTCCAGGAACTGTTCTTGAGCCTTTTCTCCATCGTTGCTGGTATGTAATAATTCAGATCACCAATAGCAGGAAGCACTGGCATTCCCACCAGAGGCAAGATCAAAATACAGCTGATACTTTACCTAAAAACATTTACATATGTCTTAATCAATTAAGTCCTTAAGATACTATTGAACTGGTAACCAGTTCTCAAAGAATAATGCTGCAATAAAGAGGAAAATTTAAATCCACAGAGAAGCACCATGTATCGAATGTTGTTTCAAAGATCATATTGCTAACATTAGCATCACTGGTTATAATGGGTGCTCTCCAGCTGACAGTTTATGCTTTTGTGTATTATTAATGTCCCCTGGGTGTTAGAATTCATCCTGGCATTTCTTTATATTTTTGAATGGAAGCATTATAAAAGCTAAAACCTTTGAAGATTTCTTTAATATCTAAATTTGTATAACAAAAATTAAGTAGTAATCTGATTATAGAGTGGCTGTTACTCTTCAGTTTTATGTATGGCGTTTGTTTTTTTTTTTTCTTGTAACACATGTGGCCTATTTTCAATCTTCAAGTCTGAACTTGTTAAAGGAAGCTTTTTCTTGCTAGCTGCTTTGGTTTATCCCCCGCCAGCCGCCTGGGCTCTGCTGCATTGTAGTCCCCAAATAAACACACAGGAGGCTGTATTAATTATGAAGCTGTTGGCCTTACTTGTTTCTTACTGGCTAGCTCTGACTTAAGTAATTACCCCATAATTGTTAATCTAAGTATTTCTCTTACCGGCGAATAGTTCCGGGCTTCCTACCTCCATGGCATTAAAACCTTGACTCTCTGTGTTTCTCCTTCCCAGAGTTCTCCTGGACTCCTAGTCCCTCCTATCTTGGTTCCCTATAGGCTCAACAGTACTTTATTGACAAATGCACAGGACTTCCCCCAACATGAACTTGTTTAGATTTTTAACAGGTATGGACTTGCTAACCCTTGAAAACATAAATAACTGATTTGTTAATGTTTGCTTGCTTGTGAGAATAAGCTAGTTTATGAAGTCGGATGGCTAGGTTAGCCAGTGTGTTCACTTGAGTCTGAAGGAAGGGAAGGTCATCTGACAAAAACGAGTTCCTGCAGCTGTGCTGTGATAGCTCTGAGATATCTTAGAGAATAGATGATCTTCTCTCTACTGTGAACGCAGGAATGGAAGATTGTTTTCCATGACTTCTTTTTGGCTTAGTGCTGTGCTGTAGAATGTAATAGCTTACTGATAATGAGAAGCGTTGGCTCTTTTCAGATTCATCATGACCTTGAGCATTTTGATCTGTGTCCTTCTCTCCTTGTTTGTTTTGAAATGCTTTTGCTTTGTGAACCAGGCTAGCCTTAAACTTACTATGTGGCCCAAACAAGAGCATCTGGGCAGGGTCACCCCTGGGCCTGGACTACTACATAGGGGAGACTGTGCCTAAAAACTAAAATCAAACCATGAAACAAAAACTACTAAGTGTGTTTCATCTTTATCTCTGGGGGTACTTTAGTACCTAACTTTTTATTAGCCATTCCAGAAACCCTGATTTCCCATGACTTTCACATTGTGCTTTGTTTTACATGTCCTCTGTGCTTTGCGCTGAGATTTACTCCCATGTATGCACAGTATCTTCAGTCTTTTTCTAATCGATTGCTCCTCTGACCACACGTCATGCTGCACTCTTCATACTATTTTGGTGTTTGTTTTGATTTTGTTTTTTTATGTTGGTTAGTCTCAGCTTTGACCTCCAGAGGCAGTTTCAGCACACTGAAGAGAAAATAGGCTAATTCAGGCATTTACCAACCTTAGTAACATTGCTGTTCTCAGAGAACTCTAACTAAACCATTAAATTCACGGTAGCTTCTCCATGCTGGCCCATTTCTTCAGGTAAAAATTGAAGTTTATCCTTTTTAAATGCTTTCTTTCATCTCAGTTATCTGTGCCTTTCTGTTTGACTTTTTTTTAATGGAACTTCCTTTGTTAGCTTTTGATATGTATGAGACTCCTTTTCTTTCTCATTGAATGCTGATTTTACAACAGATGTATCCACTTCAAGGGTATCAGCTTTCGCGTTTATATTAATTTAGTTATTTGTTTGTTTGTTTTTCCCCGAGACAGGGTTTCTTTGTGGCTTTGGAAGCTGTCCTGGTACTAGCTCTTGTAGACCAGGCTGGTCTGGAACTCACAGAGATCCGCCTTTTAACCGATCTATTCTTTTCTATGTATTCTTGAAATTTGCTTCCTGGTATAAAAATTTGCTGTTATATTACTATTTAAATAGATGATTTTTTTTTTTTTGGTTTTTTGAGACAGGGTTTCTCTGTGGCTTTGGAGGCTGTCCTGGAACTCGCTTGGTAGTCCAGGCTCGTCTCGAACTCACAGAGATCCGCCTGCCTCTGCCTCCCGAGTGCTGGGATTAAAGGCGTGCACCACCAACACCCGGCCTTAAATAGATGATTAACCCTTTCTAATCTTTAGAAAAGTCCCCAAAGTTCCAGCAAAATCTAAGGTAGTCCACAACTTGGATCCAGCCTACTTTCTAGTTATCTTCTTTTAAAATTCACCCCATCTCACCCCCATTTCTCCATATGTTTTTGTTTGTTAAAGACTAGTATTTCCATAATTTCAGACTTATCATATTCTCCAAACCCATGAAAAACAAATGTCACTAGAATACACTCAGTTTCACAGATTAAGACAGCTTATGGCATAAACAGTTTTGTTTCTTCAGCATCAAGTAAAATCTCTTGCCCCCATAGCTTCTGCAAAAATATCATGTATTTCCTAGATAGCTTCATTTGACTTAGTAAATGTTATAGTGTTTATTGCACCATACTGTTTGCATACTTTGTATACCATTAATCCCAAGATCATTGTGAACTATACCACTTTTGAAGTATTTGGTTTTAAATACATATATAATATAAAGAAATACTAGCATAGTAGTTGTGCTTTTACTTTCAATTTGGAGAATAAGATGCAAGATAAAAATTATATTAGCTCCTATGGCAATGATTAGAATTATATAAAGTTATGTAATAGTAAATTTGAGGGGGCTGTAGAGATGGTTAGGCTGTTAGAGAACTTGCTGTTCCTCTGAGATCTCAGGTTTGGTTCCCAGCACCTACACAGTAGCTCAGAACTTTGTATAAGCACACACCCAGAACACATACATACATGCAGGCAAACATTCATATATATAAAATCTTTTTTTTAAGGCAGATGTTTATAATTGTGCCCTAGAATGCATGCTTTATAGTTCCCTATTCTAGTTTTGTAATCTGTCACCAATGATCTGTTCAGTAGAGGTGACCAGGAGATGTGGTTAGAAAGGCTGCATCAGATTTCATGGCTCTAGCGTGCTATCCCGGGTGATTGGTGAACTCTAGAGTACTATCCTGGTGAGTGTGGTGAACTCTAGAGTACTATCCTGGTGAGTGTGGTGAGCTCTAGGTGCTATCCTGGTGAGTGTGGTGAGCTCTAGGTGCTATCCTGGTGAGTGTGGTGAGCTCTAGGTGCTACCCTGGTGAGGGTGGTGAACTCTAGGTGCTATCCTGATGAGTGTGGTGAGCTCTAGAGTACTATCCTGGTGAGGGTGGTGAGCTCTAGAGTACTATCCTGATGAGTGTGGTGAGCTCTAGAGTACTATCCTGGTGAGTGTGGTGAACTCTAGAGTACTATCCTGGTGAGTGTGGTGAGCTCTAGGTGCTATCCTGATGAGTGTGGTGAGCTCTAGGTGCTACCCTGGTGAGTGTGGTGAACTCTAGAGTACTATCCTGGTGAGTGTGGTGAGCTCTAGGGTCTATCCTGGTGAGTGTGGTGAACTCTAGGTGCTATCCTGATGAGTGTGGTGAGCTCTAGAGTACTATCCTGGTGAGGGTGGTGAGCTCTAGCGTGCTATCCTGGGTGAGTGGCGAGCTCTAAGTGCTATCCTGGATTAGTGTGGCAAGCTCTAGGGTCTATCCTGGTGAGGGTGGTGAACTCTAGAGTGCTTTTCTAGGTGAGTATGGCGAGTTCTAGCATGCTGTCCTGGTGAGTGTGGCGAGCTCTAGCTCTGGTTAACTCTTCCTTATAAGAAATAATAAATCAATACTGTAAATAAAAAAAATTAGTCTGTACTTTTTTCTTCATCCCACTGCAAATTTAGCACATAACAAAATAATCTTCGTCCATTTCAATGTGTCACCAAGTTAAGTCAGTCACTCCCCTGAATAGGCTCAAAAGTCGAAAGGTCTGGTCTAGATAAATATAAACCCTTGCTCTCTTCTTCAGTGTACCTGGACTGTTCCACTGCATGATGAGATTGTCATGGGGTGATAGTGGTAGATGATGTGTGCTCAGTCATGTGTGTACATGTGGAAGCCAGAGGTCCACATCAGGGCTTTTCCTCCGTCAGTCTCCACCTAATTCTTTGAGACAAGGTCTCTCATTGAGCCTGGAGCAGGCCCCAGATACTCCTGTCTATGCAGCTCCCTCCCCTCCCTAGGACTAGAGTTAAGGGTGTGCCTGCCACACCTGGCTTTTTATGGGTCCTGAGGGTGGAACCTGGGTACTCCTGCCACGTGGCAAAGCACTTGATCCACAGAGCTACTTCCCCAGTCCCTTTAGTCTTTGTCATTGTGATGTGTTAACCCTTTCCTTACACTGTAAGGTCTATAGAGATGGGAGCCAGGTCTGCTTACTTATTGGTAAAGTATCTATTTTAAGTCATCTCAGAGGTTTTTTTATAAGACTGTGAGTATGGTTCAGTGCATAGTACACTTAACTAAAGCTCCAGAGTTGATCCCCTGCACCAAAAACAATTTTCCCATCAAAGAAAAGATTCTGACTAACTCAAATATTAGTTTCCATGCTCTTTTTGGCACAGCACTATCCTCTCCTAGTCTTTCCTACTAACCAATGCTCCTACTTTGCATATTCATTTTGTTACATTATTATTTGAAGACCTTGAAATTGGAATGATTCAAGTTTGATTTGATTTGATATCTTCAGTTAGTTAATGTTGCAACTTTAAATATTCTGATTAATTTATGCCTTTAATTTACTATTATTTTAGTTACGGATGAGTCTCTACCCTCTTATCCTGGAGGTGCCATAGCAAGAAATGACAGCGAGTGGTCAAAAGTAAATGAAGAAGGAGCAGACCTATCACAGCAGTTTTGGACAAGTGTTTTTGCTGGACCTGAAATAGATCCTGAAAATGTAGAGCTAATGTTGAATGTCAGCTCTCGACTACAAGCAGCGGTTGAAAAACTACTGGAGGCCATAAGTGAAACCAGTAGTCAGGTAACTTGTTATCTTCAAGTCTTCTGCTGAGTTTGATGTGGACTTAATGATTCTCTCTACTATTCCACAGAGATTTAGCCAGACTTCCTTTTAATGATTGCATGTGTTCAAGCAGGGTCTAGTGTAGCAAACCTGTAATTCCATCTATTTGGCAGGCCTCAGCAGCTTACTGAGACCCTTTGTTTAAAAAAGAAAATGTATGAAAAAAGATCCAGGCCTGTACCAGAGGTCAAGTGCTTACAAGGCTTGTGCACTCTCCAGTATTGAACAATAAGTATATAAACAAAAAAGTATATCACAGAGGTTTTACCTCTACCGCTGTTGGACATGTTCCATTAAAATCTCTTTAAAACTTGTCTGAACTTTCCATTCTGTAGACTATCTAACGTAGTCTCATTACCTCAAACTTGGGATTCCTTTACTTTTTGTTTACATCCATTTTATGTATATGAGTAAGTTAGTTTGCCTAAAAGGCTATTTCTGGGTAAGAAATTAGTTTGGGACAGTTCTTAAAGTTTTTAAAAATAAAAAACCTCTCAAGGACTTTTGCTACTGTATTTATAAGTTGGTGTTTTTTGTCTATAATTTTTATTATACCTTTTATGATCATTGAATTAAATTACTGTATGTAGAATATTCAAAATCATTTACCGTTTTGAAATGAAAATTTACTTATTTTCAAAGTAAGTTTATCTTTTTTTATCTTAAGACATCTGGAATTTATATTTTCATTATCAAGTACACAGTAAATTAACATTTTCATTATTGTCTCTACTCAAATCTTAAACTAGATTTTTTTGGAACAAGTGGAGATGTTGAACAGGTGACTCTTGTTTCATTGCTAATGTCTGACTCTTCTTTGATATTCCTTCTCTCTAAGAAATTATTCAATACAATAATGTAGCAGAGTAGCTATGGGAGAGCAACTGTGGAAAATACTGTTATTAGTACATTTTAATTCTAAATTCAGTTCCTCTATAGTTTTTTTGGTGGTTGTCATTTCTGGGTTCATTCACTGGATCATAGTCAACCTACCAGAGACCACACCCCTAAAGAAAACAGACTCTCCCTCCTAGCAGCCATAAACTATGAATAGCTCCTGGCTAAGAATGTGATCTCCTGTGCACCTCCCCCGTCACTGCAGGATTGTTGACTGGCTTGGTCTTTGCAGGCAAGCACAGCTGCTGTGGCTTATGAGTGCAGTGGTCCTGTTATGTTTAGAAGACAGTTTTACTCCATTCCTCCCAGACTCTAGCTCTGATGTCTTTCCACCCTCTCTTCAGCAACAAATACAAATGTTTGTGTTCACTGTTGAATCTTGCCTATAGTAATATTACTGTTCTGGTCTAATGATGGTTTTATGTTTTGCTTACTCATTGTAAAAAATTTCTAAAGTATGAGCTACCTATCCTTTCATTTTTATGCATTTAACCTAGTCAGAGTTATGAACATGTATCTGCTTTATTCTGTGGGTTGTAATTTTATACCACAGTTACTTGTTTTATTCCAGCCTTTGCACTGTGAAGTCTTTCAGGTCAGCTTCCGTACCTATTGAGAATTGCTTCTCTTTTGAACATTTGTCCTGTAAGATGTATCCATTTTGTATTTTCTCTGCCCCAGCTTTAGGATAAACCAGTTCTTCAAACAGTAAATGTTCTTTTTATTGAAAAACACTACTTAAACCAAGAGCAGGATGCTGAATGTACTCATAGCTAATTGAATATCATAGCTTCTTTTAATGAGCAGTTTGAAAGTATATGTGTGTGTATTTATTTAGGTTGGTATGTATGTATTACATTTTTATAAAACAAAATGCCCATCATTTGGGAAGCAGAGTCAGGCGGATTCTGAGTTCAAGGATAGCCTGGTCTACATAGTAACTTCCAGGATTGCCAGGGATGTATAGAGAGACTCTGTTCCCCAAAACAACAATAAAATGTATACTGATACTTCCGATTCCTATCAATAGCTATAAGAGTAAAGAAAGATTTTCTGGTTTTGTTGCATTTTTACTTATTTCTTTAACATTACTTGATTCCTAAGAAATTTCAGAATTGCTAATCTATACCTCTAGAAGAAACAAGAGTGCTAACTGCAGTTCAAAAACTGGGTTTTGAACTATTTTTCATTTTGGCTTCTTCCTTGGTGATTCTTTTTAATTGGATGAAATTAACTCTATGTGAACAGTTCTTCCAGTTGATAGTTACATGTACCTACACGGAAGTCACAATGCAACATAATTCTGTCACCCCAATAGTATGCCCTGCCTGGCAGCCATCTCCCACTCTCTGCCATTTCCAAACACGGGCTTCTGTTCTTTTCCTATGTTGTTATGTGTTTAAGAGCTTCACAAATGAAATTGTATTTATACTGTCTTTCAAGTCTCCCTACAATTGCCTTAACAAACTGTCCTTATAATGTGATTCTTCTATGGTGTGTGTAATGGTAGGGGTTTCCTTTTGTTCGTTTTTGTAAACAAGGAATATTACATTGTATAGATGTACCAATTTATGTATACATTACTTAAAGGACTTAGAGATTGTTTGGATATTGAGATTCTCAATTTTCAGAACCAGCACTTTGCTAAAGATAGACAGAAGTACTCAGGAGTGCTGGGAGCACTTGCAGAACACACACAAAAGACACTCCAAAGGCCACTTGCCCAGCTTAGCAGTCAGGTAGGTGGTAGAGTTATAATTTGAACCCAGGCAGTTTAACTTCAGAGTCTATGTTCTTTTTTTTTTTTTTTAATTTTTTGTTTTTTGTTTTTCGAGATAGGTTTTCTCTGTGGCTTTGCAGGATGTCCTGGAACTAGCTCTTGTAGACCAGGCTGGTCTGGAACTCACAGAGATCCACCTGCCTCTGCCTCCCAAGTGCTGGGATTAAAGGCGTGTACCACCAACACCCGGCCAGAGTCTGTGTTCTTAATCAACATTTCTGACCTCTGAACATGAATGCAATGACTCACTATCATAGAATACTGATAGGTAATATGAGTTCAAACAAAAAAATGGGTTTTGAAATCATGGCATCACTGGAGACCTTCCAAGAACCATTTCAGTGGAATAGCAGAAATGAAAGCCCGATTCAAGAGACAGTAAGCTGAAATGAACTGAAGAATGGAAGACAAGGAAGAAAATTTTGACAGTTAGCTTAGGAAGCTGTAAAGCAGCCCTGTGTTGAAGAGCAGTAGATAGTTCTGTATGAGAGTTTGTAAATAGGTGGTGATCACAGGTCAGAGTCCATTGTGAAATAAGTTATCGTAACTTTTCACTAGAAAATAGGTGTAGGAAGTAAGATACTTTAGCAGAAAAAATGATAGCAAATGTATGTTTTAGAGTACGGTTCTTGATGGGCAGGAAGGTGGTGAGAAAGGAGGTGCAAAGGTGGAGACTCGGAACATTCTAGGTGAGAGGTGCCAAAGATCCAGTTTTGGCAGGTCGGAATCGATTTTGGAGTGTGTTTAGGAATGGAATTAAGATTGGTGTAATTCATCGATGAAGGTGCTCTGACAATGAAGGGCATACCTCAGGCTTGAATACTTTGAGGCAGGAGAGAAGTAAATCATGGGTTCTGTTTCACAGAAGCTGCGTTTTAATGCAGGGGTTAAGAAATGTGGGAAATTGTGGATGTTCTCACACCACTCATATTCTGAAGATAGTCTGAAGTTTGGAAAAGACTCATTTCCAGGAGTTTGAAACCCTGATTTGCCTTCTTTTTCTGTTTCCCTGCCCTCAAGGGTCAGTCTTATAAAACACACTGTATGTGCCAAGTGTCTGAAATTGAGATCATCACAAGCTGTACAGTTTTAGAGGAGCTTCAAAATGATGGGAGTTTTTGTACTCACAGAATACCGATATATAAAAGAGAGAAAAAAGACAAATTTAGAGTGTGTAAATCTACAAGCATATGAGAATCAGAGACGAGAAGAGAGCCATAGGAGTAGTTTCACAAAAGATCAATGAGGAGTTTCCAAAAGTGTTAGAGACCAAGGAGAAGTTAGGGATGCTCAACGTTTAGAGTCCTTTGCACATTTCAGTATGATTGTCGTCAGTGACTCTGGTGAAAACAGTTTAATAGAGTGATACAGGAGAATTAACAGTTCAGACTTCAGTAGTTGGAGATATAATTCAATCTCCTGGCACCTACTTTTAATGAATATAGAACTGGCATGAGAAGGGCAGAGTAGGATTTTTTTTTCAGATTGAAATCAGATTGATTAGCAGTAACAGATGCAGGACAGAACATCACTTTATATCCAACTCCTTGAAGGAAGGAAGACATGGAGCCCTGAGCACAGGGGGAAGGAATAGGCTTATGCCAGACCTTGCTTCCATTAAGGACTATTGCAGGTGATGATTGTGAGGTACTAAATTTCACTGTAAAAGTCCAAAAGTTTAAGTAAACATTGGATACTCAAAGTTCATTTGTTCCCCCTCCTCACTTTATTTTTTATTTCCTCCCTTCTTCCCTCCTTTTCCCCTTTTCTTCCTTTCTTTTTTTTTTTTTTTTTTTTTTTTTTGGTTTTTCGAGACAGGGTTTCTCTCTATTGTTTTGGAGGCTGTCCTGGAATTCACTCTGTAGACCAGGCTGGCCTTGAACTCACAGAGATTTGCCTGCCTCTGCCTCCCAAGTGCTGGGATTAAAGGCATGCACCACCAATGCCCAGCTTCATTTTCTTTCTTAATGGTCCTATATATTGTATAGTTTTAGTAGAAGAAAGTACGTAATAAAACTTTATACTTAATTTTAAGGTTTGTCACTCCTTTAGGGTGCATCCTGATTTAATAAAAGAACTCAGGAATTTTCCACTAATTTTCAGGGAAGCAGACAAGTATCTACCTGCATTGTAACCCATTTTCATAAAATAGGTTAGTGTTTGGCTTTGTGTATTCCATTTGAAGGATAACTGGCCCACTGGCAGGTCTAAGTTCATGCATTGATGTGTTTATCTTGATGAACTCTCATTTGCTCTCCTGGATCAGCATAAAGCATGCCTG